ATACTCGCGCTGTTATATCGAATTACAGAAAGTACTCAGCCCAATTCCTACAAAGAGTACTTTTTATTTTTCAACTACTCCGTCATTATTATAAAGAGTAAAAATGTTTTCTTTTATTTCCTTCAGTAATAGCGGCCATATTCGACCTCACCAACCCCGAGCCCCCATTAATCGATATTAGACTAACCATCATGTCTTGGGGGGCGCTTTTTATGAAAATGCTATCGAATTTGAAAATGGGCCCCCCGGACCACGACTTTTTTTAACTTTTTGAATTAAATCGATATCAGGGTCGACTATTATGTTCTGAGGGGAGCTTTTTATGAAAATGATATCGAATTTGAGATTGGGCCCCCCGGACTCCGACTTTTTTTAACTTTTTGGATTAAATCGATATCAGGGTCGACTATTAGGTTTTAGGGGGTGCTTTTTATGAAAATGATAAAGCCGATTTTAAGGAAAAAGTTGCTGTCACATCTAAGGCATATACCTATCTTAAATACGTAATATCAGTTTCGTACGGCTTTTCGTTTTTGAGCTAGACTGCTAACATACAAACACACAGACACACAGGCCATTTTTCGGGACTTGGTTATTTCGACTCAGGGTACCTCAAGACGTGTATTTCCGTTGAAAACTCAGATTCTAAAATTTTCTCGATCGCAATACTTACCCTTACTATATATTACATATATACGTAAGTGAAAGTAAAAATAGGATTACTATACTTTACATCGATCGAACTAAATAAAACACATTTTATACATGTAAATAATAAATGAATTGTTCTACAAATTTCATTCAATTTCATTCTCCTCTTTATTGTATTTTTCCCAATATTTAAGTTGTTATTTTGATTAGTTAAATTTTTTTTTGGTTTATGTATCTTTAATTTTAGTATTATTGTTTTGTTGTCAATTTATTTTTATTTGCAGTGTGAATGAGCTACTCTATCACCATTGCTAATGTCCTTAATTGAGACTGAATGTAATATTACTCAATTTCAAAGAAACATGACAAAAAAAATATTAGGTAGATTATGAAGTTGATTATATTTTTCGGCCTTACTGAGAAAAAAATGTCAAGGGAAACACTTAATGAAAATTGTAATTATTGTATCATTAAAATGTTCAATTGCACTCAAGTTTTATGGACTAGTATTGATTTTGTTTTTACTTACACTTATCTTTATATGTAATATATGGGAAAGTATTGGGATCGTGAAAAGTTTCGAATTTGAGTTTTCAGCGGAAATACACGTTTTGAGGTCCCTTGAGTCCATATAGGGACATCCCTATATAAGTCCCGCAAAATGGTGTGTGTGAAAGCGAGTGCTTTGTGTGAGACGAAAAGTCGTACGAAACAGATATTACGTATTTAAGGTTTGTACTTATTTGTTTGTATCAGATGTGACAGCAACTTTTCAGTTAAAATCGCCAAACCGGAAGTTCCTCTTTATATCAGCGGTGATACACATTTTTGCAATTTTCTCAAAAGCGACTTTAACGATTTGATTAAAGTCGGTGTATCATTGTACAATTAAGTGGTCATTAATATCATTTTGATCTTAACCCCATTGATGTCACTTTACAGGGCTTAAATGTTTAAATGTCTTCCTCTAAAGTACCTTTTATATGGTTTTCTTTAAATAATTAAATATCTCTCATTATTAAGAGTTACGAAAAAATGCTAAATATAACTTTTGAAAGAATTTGATAATTTAAAAATGGATAACAAAGGGAAAATGTTTATTTAGGTCGAAAATGAATTTCTGGAAATACTAGCCAAAAGGTTTACGTATAATATACTGTTGGAAAGCAATAATAGAATTTTAGAAAAACAATATCTAATGTAGAAAGCCGGAGAAAGTAATGGGGAGTGACGAAAAATTATAAATAATAATATGTCCAAACTAATATTATTTAACGGAAATAACATATTTTCAAGAAAATGAAATGAAATTTACTGACTAATTCAAACTTTTAAATCTTTTTTTAAGTTCGAAAAAAAGTATTTAAAATCCATCAATTCAAGGCAATGACATTGTTTAAAAAAAATATTTTATTCTACTTGTGTGAAAGAAGAAGATGTGTGGATGTACGAAACATATAAAAAGAAAATATGGAAGTGTAAGTAGTTTTATCAAAGTCACTTTGTTTTAATGATTCTAAAAATAAATAATGAATTGTAGAAACTCAAAAGGAAATAATATGCGATATCAATCATAAAGATTTTTTTAGAAGTATTTATGTTTAAATTTCCATTGGTTTTCAATTAATTTGTTTATATTAGTATAAACATTGTATAAATCATCGTCAGGTTTTGGTGGTGGACTAGGGAATGGTGTAAGACTTACAGGAATGGAAAATTTGTTTACTGTTCTTTAATATCACAAGTTCACACGTTTTAAAAGTAAAATAGTAATGTTTGATTGTTCCGTCTAAATCTTTTGTTCATTTATAATAATAATTTTGTTATCTAATCCTTATTTTTTTTTTTTATTCTCTATTATTGGAAATTCCAATTATTCATATTTTACTGTCGGTTTCTTGAGAATTCGAATAATCAAGATACTGTATTTATCATCGGTCGGTCGCTTATTTGATAATTGTTCTGACAAAGACGCTATTTATTAAAAGACGGACATTTGAATCACAGTATTGACATTGCTGTCATGTCAAAGATCGTCGACTTTCCAAAGATGAAATAAGTTTACAGGTGCTCATTATGTGTTGCTCGCAAAGAATATTGAAACCGTTCTTTTATCAAAGAATGCCGACATAGCCTTTATCCGCCTTTCGGCGTGTCTTTACTAATTTCATAGATTGAATTTAACTTCGAACCCAATTGATAGTTTGATCAATTAACTTCGATTAGGAATATCCGATTTTAATGTAAGATAGCAAGTGATTTTCTTTCAATACCTGCTGAGAGATCTTTTCTAAAGCATCATTAATAATAAGAAAACGAAGAAATAGGTTGTTAAGTGATGAATCAGTCAGACATTTACTTTCTAATTCATCAAAGTAGTAGCGGATTCAAAAGTTTTATAAATATATACATATAAAACTTTCGATCCGCGACTACATTGAAGTATGATTACTTCACACATATTTATAACGATAATTAGTTTAGGAAAAAATATAGAAACTGATAACTTAAATGATATGATGTTAAGTTAAGCCTTATTGTAATGTGATTAAACGAGCAATAATACTTTTAGACATAATTTTTTTTTTTTCAATAAACATGATTATATTTAATCATGGGGTTGTCAGTCCAAGTGGATGCCCTGCTTTATAAAGGATTCTGAGTTAGTTCAATCGATTACTGACCCTATGGTATCACTATTTTCAAATTTTCGCTATTATAAATACTATTCTATAAATTAAAAAGAAACTTATTCGGCTAGTGGGTCACACAAATAACAGGTAAGGTTGCTAAGTTACTTGTTAGTGATGCTGGTAACGATAAAGGATTTGGAGAAGAAATGCAATGTCAATACACTAGGATTAAAATAATAAGCTGATTTCTTAAGAAAGAATTAAGATGATATCTTTTGATTGCAATGATTTCAAATAAGGGCATAGTTCAGCAGTATCCCAAAAGTATGGAGCGGGGTGTTCAAGCGGGCTAATGCATGAACAAAAAAACGTTCAACGTTGAATTCCTGGCGCCGGAGGACTTTTGACATTAATCTCCTGCCCGAGAAAAACCCCGTTTAACTTAAAAGGTGAGGAAGAGAAGAAGACAAATAGTTCAAAACAAAAATCAGACAACTTGTATCTCGCAAAAAACAAGAACTTAGTATATCGACAGCCACACTGCAAGTCCTATTTGGACATAATCTAAAAATATTCAGGATAATATAATAAAAAAATATATTCTTTCTTTACCCCTTTTTAATGCCTGGACTAAGTAGGAATTGTGTTTCTTTGACGTCCTACTATACTTACTCCACTTCGCTGGCAAGAGCTACTTGGTTTTCTTTACTACATGAAGAGACGCAATAGAATTGTATGTAAACGTGCATAATAACTGTCTTTTGGTTACAGTCTCTCCTAATTGGATTTGAGGTGGTATTTTAGTGTTTGACTCTCTGCTTATTCCAATCTATTTGCGATTTCACTGATTCGTTGTTTTGAAAACATCCATCAACAATTAAACTTAAGTTTGTTTTTTTTCCTTTTTATGTTAAATTTTTCCAATAAATGATATTAATTATTTCTCTCACACTTTCAGGAATTCGGCGGCATAGTAGCTTTTCAGTCCGCAGTTACCTGGAGTTCTCGATTATTTTGAAGGTCGTTCAATATTATAATCCCACTTACCACCCTCTTTTTTGCTTGGCATTGTACCAGAGCAAGCCTCCTCATTTTTCTTTTGTCTTCTGGCTTTATGAGGATAAAGGAACCATGAGGATCTTTCGAATTTATTTCACCATGCATCTATTTTTTATGTTTTCCCTCGATGAATCTTCAGTCTACTGTCGTTCATTTCAAATTCTCTGCTGCACATTCCTTACTGGCTCACCACATCTTTTACTTTGGACATCTTCATAATCAGCTAACTACTCTCCATTTCCGAAACATTCTATTCCGTTTTTATCACAAGAATTACAAGGAAAAGTGAGTTTCTTCAATTTCATTATTATGGCCAATTTCTCATACTAAAAAAATAAAAAGAATCAATTAATACCGCATCTAACTTGTCTACAAAATACTTAATACTATTCCAAAAAGGCTCATGAATTTTTCTCAATCCTTGGTGATAATTATATGTTTAAATGAAACACCCTAGGCAATGAAACGCCCTAGGCTTCATTTAGAGAGATCAGAATATGCGTCAGCTCAAGATTGACCAGAAAGCTAAAAAACCCAATTCAAAAAAAAAAAATGTCTTTACAGGCTTTGGCTGTGTGGCTGTCGATATATTGATTAAATTAAAAATAAAAATAAATTAATAATAGTTGCTATTAATCTCAGATCTTCATTTACTACCTTAAGACAGTTCTGCCAATGGTGATATTCTGACATTCCAGTTGGTCTTTCTGGTGGTTCCTTTCCATGTCGTTTTAGTTCTTGCAGCGATTCTCCATAATCAAGTAGCACCACTGGATCTATGTTGTTGTTTCGAATTGCAGTCACCAGGCTTTCTACATAGTGCGTCCTATGACAAGTTAAATCATCCTAGTTTGCTTCGAAATTTTATTAGAAAATGTCGCTGACTGTACATTATTCAACGTTAAATATAGAAATTATCTATGTGAGTGTATTTATGTTGATAAGTAGTAATCAGTACTTAATTAAAAAGTAATTTCGTCATAATTGGCCTTTTACTAAAGCTGGATAGTTAGAGAATAATAAAATATCATAAAGTATTACAAATTAATAATTGAACTTGGCTATAAAAAACACCAGTAAAGTTAATTTCTTTAGGATGTTCGAAATAAAGTTAAAAATCAAGCATAGTTTGAATATAAACGGCTAACAATAACGAAAAACGCACCGAAGTAAATCATTTGGAGAATACATTTTCTTTCTAAACCACAGATTAATTTTTAAAATATTTGAAGCAGTTATGAGAAAATACATTTAATCGGCGGAAATGCGGCACTAGCATTGGCGCCTGAGTCCTCTGCCGCATCATTCAGTACTCACACATAAACGGCATAGTTATAGTACTATAATAACGTTCTATAATACTGGTGCACTATTTTCATTGTATTAACGAATAAATATTAATGTAATAATTTAACTGTCAAAACATTTTTTTTTTTCTTTTTACTTCCTGTATTCTTATATTCTAAAACATTTAAGACGGACTCTATTGTAAAAATAACAAAAAGCATTTATAACTAAATTCAGTAATATTTAGCCATTAAACATTTGTTTTTGTATATTTATTGATTAGTAAATTTTATGTAATTTCCGGAATCTGTAGGTTAGACCTAATTCTCCATTTTGATTGCCTCATATATATTTCGGAGTATTTTCTTTATCATATGTAGAGCATCCTTTTGCTTTTTTGGTTGGACCATGTCAGGCTTCCTCACAAATCTCATAATCGTTTTTATATTAGAGTTGTTGACTTTCTGGACAAATTTTTGCGGTTCAGCAGCTTCTGTACGTTTATACTTTTATATTTTCGATTACTCCCTACCTCGTCATTTATGGCATTACTCACCACTTAATAAATTTGAACTCGCCCAGACCGGATTCGAACCGGCGACGTTAGACTTGGGTATGCTTAAGTTAGCACTATAACACGCTCGGTCATCATGATATCATCGCTTTAATATCTCTACTTGGTTCTTGCATGTGATCTTGCTACTCAGGTACTTGAATTCATTACAACTCTTGAATATCTGATTCCCTGTTCTCATTTCCTCTTCTGTCTGTTCTCGATGTCTTTATGTACATACTCTTGTCTGTTCGTTCAATGTTTCCTTGGACTTCTTCTTTATATCTTCCATTTTTAACCTTTGTGAAGCCTAGACTGATCTCTTTTTAACTTTTTCCGAGGTTTTCCAACTAATCTCTGCCTATACTTGGCAAAAACCAAGTAGTGGTCACTATTGCTACATGCTAACCTGTAGGTTCGTACATGTAAGGTATGTGACGCGTGTTTTGTGTCCACCAGTACATGATCTACCTGATTTTCACATGTTTGATGAGGGTATTTCCATGTGTTTACAGTAGTGCAATGGATTAAAGGTTAAGAGTTTTGAGTACATACTTCCAGCACAAACTAAGAAATAAGGATTTATGATATTGATAGTGGGGTAAGTATATACTCATCACCTTTTATCCATTGTAATACTGACCGCCCTCAGTCCATTATCGTTTGACTCTTCGTACTTGCTGTGCTGTTCAACGGAGGGTCTAAACCACAGGTGATCAGCAGCCGCATTTGGCCTCTGTGACGTAGCTGTGATCTCCAAACATTTTTGCGCGATATTTATTAATTTAGCTCTAGAATTAATAGAATTAAGTCGAATATAGGTATGGCTGTGGGTATTTAGTGGCAAATAATTATAGTAAAATATAAAAAATTATCGCGGCCTCCATTAGCACTGCATTAACCTTGCTCTGGTCCCTAATAATAAAAAGGTTCCCCACCTATGGTCTAAACATTTCTAATGGTCTAATGGTCTAAACTTTTCTTCCTATTATCTCACTCAAGTCCCCTAAAACCATCTACGCAATGTAATTAGGGGGCGAGTCATAGACGTTAAGGGTCCATAAAATTTATCCTTATCCTATTATCTTTTTTCTGCGGTAGGTGCATGTGCGCTGATAAGTGACAAATTAGCAAATTTACATTTAACCTAATTGTGCCAAATCGTTTATGATACCATATTGATAAGTTCTTTATCTAAAATGAAATTCAGATTTATAAAAAAATGTTGTAATTAGTACTGTATCTCTAAACAAATGTTCGTGAATAAAAATAAGTATCATTCAAGCAGTTATAGGTTTACATTGTTATCTTTTACCTTATTTTTAATTTTTATATTACCAAGTAACTTGACTGGTGCCGATAAACCCGGGATTAGGTTTGTCATGGGCTCAGAGCCGTTATTTCTGAATCTTATGATTTTTAGATCGAGGCAGTTGGATAACCTCGTGCCGACGACCAGTCAACCTCAAGGCTTACCTATGAATCCTTAAGACCAACAACTGGACGTGGCGTAACAGTGACGCTACCGCCAATTCTGTGGTAAGTCAAGCTGTTAATACCAATCCCGGGCTGGTGCATTCCACTGGATTTATAGGAGGGCCTAGCTCCAGAACCCATGAAGGTGAACACCCTCACGACGAAACGTTCCAAGAGTACTTCAGCTTCGAGCTCAGGAGATATTCCGAAAAAAAGCTGTTGAAGATGATCAGCAGCAAGTTGGCTGTAATATCTTTGTTGAAAGAGCTGAGTGAACAGACGATTCAGAAGTACAAATCCTAAAGAGCCCACATGCGGAAGGGAACTACCACCTAAGACGAGGGCAAAACCAGAAAGACAGCAGTTGGTAAATATATTCAAACACTCTATAGAGTTGGCAGCAAGAGTTATTTGTATGGAGATATATGCAGCATTGGCTGAACAGAAAAACAGGGCCCTCGAAATTTTCACTTTGGCCATCGAATGCTACAGTTGCTGCCTGTAAGTAATATTCCTGAATAAAATTATTATTGGCCGTTTATTGATCTTAATAATTATCTTTTTTGGGCTATACGACATGATATATTAAGTTGCTCTATCGACGATAAATAAATGATAAATCGTTTTAATAAGGCTTTTTCGTCAAATAAAGTCGAAGAGATTGTGTCGTGTTTAATCGTTTGAACTTCAAAGTACCGAAAGTGCCATCAGGTTTAATCTTTTCATCTTATGACTTTTTTCCAAACTCTTTTGCTATATGACCAATGTATCAATATACTCAGTAGCGACTATGGCATTAGACAATGGATTTTTTTTATTATCTATGATATTTACAACTGTATTAGAAATAAAAATACATTCAGTAAATATGAACACAAGAATATAATAACATGAAACCACTTTTTGAGAAACTACCCACTGGTAGCACTCTAAAGATGTCGGAGCAACAGGAGATATCGAGGTCATCTTCTTTTCAGACGTCTCGAGGGGTTATCAGCGATCGAGGAGGAAGACAGATTAGAAACGAGAGGGTTTGGATGGTTCTGAAGTTTGTTATGGAAGGATAGGAATCTGGATTGGGCCAGGTCAGAAACATAAGGAACATTAAGGTCTTTATGGATGATTTTATTTGTGGCAAAGTAAGGAGCATTGAGAATTTTGCGAAGGATTTTGGATTGTAAGGATTGGATATGAGAGGAATTCTATGGTTTAGTGGAGCTCCCAAGCTCAACTCCGTAAGTCCAAATAGGTTATGTATGAATGAATGAATGAATGAATGAAAATAATTTTATTATTCTGGGACTAGTGTCCCTTTAGAACAAGTCACAAATACAGAATATATATTAATATGTTGGTGTGTCCATGAAATAAAATTTAATATTTACAGGTTGATTCGGAGTACAATAAATTTATAAATGATAAAAAGATATACGTGTAAATATAATATATACAGAGAAAGTAATTAAGTGAACGAAATATCCACGAATTACAAAATAATGAGAGTATCTGGGTGTACTTTGAGGTTTTTACAGCCTAGGTTTTTAAGTGCATTTTGTGATCAATTGGATTGGGAATGGAGTAGGTGTTCGAAGAGGAGAGATTTGGAAGAGGATATCGATTTTGCGTGTCGGATATCTGAAGGTATAGAGTTCCAGAGGGAGACAACTTGTATTAAAAAGGATTTATCAAATACAGCAGTTCGGTGAGGAGGAGGATAGAGATGGACCCACGGGATCTGGTGGGATGGGATTGAAAGGAGCGTTTGAATTGTAGGATCTGTAGAATATAGGCAGGTCGCCGTGTTGTAATGGCTCGGTATAGGAAGGTAGCCAGAAAATATTGACGGCGGTAGGAGGGATAAAGCCACTTCAACTTGGTGTAGAACTGGGTAATATGCGTATTCCTTGAGATCCCGAAGATAAAGCGGATTGAGCAATTCATTAAACGTTTAAGTTTGGCTTCGAGTTCTCCCGAGAGTCCATGCAGCTATAGTCGAAGTGGGAAAAAACAAGAGAAGACCAGGAGTTGACGGGTTTTGAACGGAAGAAGATAACGTAGATGGTTAAACTGTTTCAGGATGGATATAGTACGGCGGGAAATTTGGGAGATGTGTGGTTTCCAGGAGAGGCTTTGATCGAGGGTAACGCCTAGGTTTTTAACGATGGTATGGAAGGAGATAGGTAAGTTGTTCAGAAGAAGATTAGGAGGTGTTGAAATGGATTTGAGGAGTGAGGGGGATCCGATGAGGATGGCGTTTGTCTTCTCCGTATTCAATGTCAGCTTATTAAGATTTGCCCATGCGCATATTCTATTGATGTCTTGTTGCAGTTTCAGTATGGCATTAGAGGAATCTGTCAGTCACAGTATTGCCTAACTATTGAGGTATTGCCCTGCTGTCCACTGACGTTATTAACAGGTAGAACACATGTATATGAGTCTTTTGAGACTGGAAGCTTAGAGCGTTTGTCTAGTAAGTGCTGTAGTAGCCGGAAACTTAGAGCGGTTTCTTGTCGTTTCAGTCTGGTATGAGGAATCCAAGTTAGAGATTTGTCTAAGTGGAGTCCAAGGTATCGGATTTATTCAACAAGGGTAAGTGGAGTATTATTAAAGGATATTGTTGGACAGGTCATAGGTTTACGGCGAAGGGTAAAGGTGATTTAATGGGATTTATTGGAATTTCTTTTAATCCTCCAGTTTTGACACTATTCTTCAGGTAGATCAGATGTATCATCGGCATACGTGGTAATGACAGTGTTAGGATGGGTTGGGATGTCAGCTGTATAAACTGTGAAAAGGATATGGCCTAGGATACTACCTTGAGAAACACCAGCAAACTGGGAAAATGGGGATAAATAAACATTATTATGATTTACTTTGAAGTATCTATCAGTTAGGTAGGAACGGATAATGAGGAAGTATGTAGGATGTAGGACTTTGCGGAGTTTGTACAGCAGCCCCGGGTGCCAGACTCTATCAAAAGCCTTTACTGACAATGAAATAAAGTATTTCGAGTTACGAAGTGCGATTGCTGCTTTATCTAAAGCATGAAATGCGATCTTCAATCCTCCTCCGGTTTCCATTGTTGTAATGGGCTATTTTATGAGAAATCACACCAGGATGGATGAAAGATATTTGTAAAGAATGTTATTTAATGTTTAACCCTCAGATGTAACTTTCGGCATTGACATTTCGTTATCATGACTGGTTTCGACAGACACTAGGTGTTGATCATGAACCGAAAATAGTTGCATATCGAATAAAGTTGCTTAGAAATATGAGAAACAGTTTCGTTCTTCGTCCTTCATCTCTTCGGGTTTCTTCTATATAAAGACATATCAGAAGAATCGTTCAACATTAGTAGAATTCACAATCTCGTAACGTAAGTTTTGAGTTCAAGACAAAATATATAAATTAATACTTGGAGATAGTGAAACAATTATGCTCTACAATTTTGTTCCTATCTACTTTTGTCCAGTGCCGGCCTTAGAGTTTTGGCGCCCCCGGGCAATGACATCATCTCTCTCCTCCCCTTGAAAATTAAATTTATTTCTTAAGCTGTTTTATATAATGTAATATTTGAATTTTATTTCATTAAAAATTTCTCTAATACAGTTGCTTTATTGATTGGCTAAAATTAATTATTTTAATGCGGTTTGTATTTTTTAAATTTCTCACTGCTTTTGTCCAAAAACCAGCCGATTTTTCAGGTAATTTACCTTGAAAAGTCGTAATGGAGTAATTTATAGCTACCCGCTTCAAACATTTCTCAACTTATTACTCGAAACAAGTAAATAAGGATTTTGTTTTCTCATATATCATTTTTATTCTATGAAGGACTGACTTTAATCTCTAAAGCAGATCAAGCACCACTTATTTCATTTAGATCGAAAAGAATAAAGATTGAGTTTATTAATGATAAGTTACTTTTTCGCATTATTAAGAACTATTATTTCTAATATAAATAGTATTATATTTTTAACAAATTTATGTTGATCATAGCATTCAATGGATTAATGTTTTCATATCTTTAACATCTTAAATTTCAAGTTGATATCAGTTATATTAATTTCTATCTATTATAATTAAATAATAAAAAACTATAATCTGAAACGATTGATTGTTTAAATGCTAATTTTTTAAAATGCTAGTTTGAAAAAACAAAAATGAGGTTGTCTACTAAGATATTTCGGTATAATTGGGGTCACTACCTGCTCCATGACCAAGCACCTATCTAAGACCTATCTAATGAAACTTGTACCTGTGAAAGCCTAGATCTGTAGACAGATTTCGGGGTACCATATGGATTTGGAGGTGGTTTTCTTCCCGTCCTTCTCACCACAGTTTCCAAATCATCTTCGTCTAGGAGATCGATAGTTTCAATCATATTCTGCCGGATCAGTCTTGATAGCAACTCCACATAGTGTTTCCTATAGACTTCATCTGTTAAAGGCTTTTCATATACTTTTAATAACAATATTTAATTGAACAAAGAAACAATATAATTTCAGGAATTGAACAAATCTCGCACATTAGTTAGAGTTTGTAGAGCTATCAACTTTTTTTTTTTAATTTGGTATATTTTTAAATACCAATATTGCTGATTTAATTGATATAATTATGATTTTATATGTTTTTGTGGAAGCTTAACTTGAATTTAAACCAATCACAGATTTCATTAATGCAGTTATCATTTAATAATAGGTGTTTGAAGGAACTGATGAGCAGTCTAATGGCTATCAATTGCTCTCGATGGAACATGGTATGTCAATACCCATAGCCCAGGAAAACCCGAGAAATGGCCCTAGTCCTCAAGAGGATGTGGTAGTAAGTCTTACTCCCACTTCCTTGTAGCGACCGCTGGGCAATACGAACCATGGAGACATTGGCTAAACATTGGAATGTGGCAGTTCTGTTCCCGATACATAAGAAGGGAGACAAGATAACCTGCCAAAACTATTGAGATATTGCCCTGCCGTCAACTGTCTATAAGGTTCTCTCAATTCCCATAAACAGAAGAATCATAGCATAAGCAGAGATAAATATTGGCCAACACCAAAGTGACTTTTGATCAGGAAGAAGTGCAATAGACCATATCTTCTCTATTCGACAAATGCTGGAGAAGGCATATGAATATAATATTGATCTTCATCACCTCTTCATCGATTTCCACCAAGCATACGATAGCCTCAATAGGAATGAGCTGCTTAAAGTAATGAAAGCACTTGGGGTTCCAGAAAAGCTAATAGGATTGAGTGCGATGACCTATGAAAAAAACCAGCTAAGGATGAAGTTACAAAACATTCTGTTAGAAGAATTTGAGGTAGAGAATGGTTTATGCCAAGGAGATCCTCTCTCTGCTGTATTATTTAATATTGCATTGGAGCAAGTGGCCAGAGTAATTACGACAAATCTAGGAGGAACAATATTTAATAGACTTACAGAACACTTGCTGGATGCTGATGACATGGTAATATCATCAAAATCTAAAGCCGCACTATCAGGAGCTTTTCAGGATTTTGAAGATGCTGACAAGAAATTGGGTCTTAAAATAAATAAGAAAAAGACCTAATATATGATATCCTCAAAAAGTAAAGAACAGGATAGTATGCAACTGCACCATACTTTAAAGAAAGCTGGCAGTTTCAAATATCTTGAAGCCTTAGTGAGAGGAAAAAGTGACTTCATGGTAGAAATTACAGAAAAACTACTGTTTTTTAAAAATATCTTGAGACCAATTGTCACTTACGCAGGTGAAACATGCTACTGACACAGGAATGCAAGAAGATCCTCCGGATCTGGGAAAGGAATGTCCTTCAACAGATCTTTCGACCAATATGTATAAATGGCTAATGAAAAATAAGAAATAATAGATAACTCTAAGAACTATATAAAGAACCAGACATAGTCACTTATGTTAAATTAAGCCATATAAGATGTCTTGGGCATGTACAAAGGATGGGTGGCAAAAGAAGGAGAAGAAGGCCCAGACTGAGATGGATTGATGTTGTGGAGGACAATTTGCAGAAGATGGTAATCGGACAATGGAGAAGCTGATAAGGAGGATTGGGGAGGTGTTGTGTGTTGTGAAGGCCAAGGCCAAGGGCTGTAGAGTGACGGAAGTAAGAAGGAACTGATTCAGAATTTAAGGTCACATTCTCAGGACGCTTTTAACAAGTGTTAATGTAGTCCTTGAGCTTTGGGTTCCTTGTATTGTTAGCTTTACAATTAGTATAATGGAATCTGTCTCAGACAGTTTGAAAGTTATAAATAGACTTCTCCAATGTTTTTAAACTTTATTTCAATTGAATTTACTTAATATGGTGTCTACTAAATCAAATAAGCCTTTTTTTCTCCCTCTAGTCCTAAATTATACTTAATTGACCAATGAAAAAATATTCTTATACATTTTTATTTAAATTGGCCAAAGAATATTGTCTTGTATAAAGACAAAGAATATTGTTTTGAACACTAACACACATAAATACCCCTCTAGAGTAGAGTAGATGTATTTAGTCCTAAAGATGATTGTATTGCCTAGTTTATGATTGTCAAGTTTATCAGATATTTAACTAGTAGGAAAATTGTTTTGAACTCATCACTCTTATTCTCTCCACTAATAAGAAACATGTTTAAACTATTCCATTAAAGTCGGCATTGATGTTAAGAAATGCAAATCTTTAAAGTACTTTTATTTGTCCAATAATTATCTTGTGATTTAAGTTTCGTCTTTTTAATTTTTTTTGTGTTTTTTTTTTTTGCTTCATATACCATACTTAGTTCATCTGGCTTAATGTAATTTTATCAGGATAACCTTTAGCAATATTCCCCAGTTTTTTCAATTCTTCGAAACATCTAAAATTTTATTAATTCAAGCTTATTTATTTAGGATTTGACAGGCATTTAAGAAAACTAAAAACAAATGTTCCCAAAAATTTTTGTTTGCACCCCTAATCGTTTCATCCCTAAAAAAATATTGCTGTCTTTTTGTGGCCAACCTGCAAATCAATTATTTTAAATTAAAAAGTTTAGTTTGTAACCTGATGATATGATCATTCAACTTTAAGATGGTTCGACATAAATTTATATCCATAGATATAAAATAAATATGCCAATGATATTATAATCAGTGCCATTGCACATATGTAAATTTGCAAAATCATGTACCAACCATACATATTATTAAAATACAGACTAAAAGAACATTTTCTATGAATTGAAAACTTCCATTGATTTGTTCAATTTCAATCTCCAAGTCTTTGATCAAGTCTTTATAAACTTTATTTTCTAGTAAAATGATACTAAATATTTGTTTTATATATATATTTAACCAAAAGTCATAGATAAAGAGCATTTCTGTTTTCACCTGCAAAGTCCTGCTTTAACTGTTGTGAAGCCACAAATTGCTTCAATTAATCCTTCAGAAGTTTCTTTCAGCAGCTGAATATTGCAACGCTTGTTCTCTATTATTTCTTCTTTTTTAAAATTTATATTATTGTCCTAGAATAGGCATATTACATTGAATATAATAAACTAAATATAATATAATTATAAATTAAATTTTAATTTAATATTATCATAGATTTAATGTTATTTAATTCACCCATTCTATTACATCATTGTCGTAACCACAAATATAGGTCTTCAGCTTTTGAGTCTGAGAAAAAGTGTTTTTTTTTTGGAAATAAGCCATCATGGTATTAATTAACTTCATTAGAACTTTATGATAGATATTGAACACCAGTCAACTATCTTATGGATAATTGCAATAATTTTATAATTAAAATTCATTACGTACTTCTAAAAGTTTTTCGAGTTGTTCTGGTTCTTTGTCCCTCAAGTAAAATAAACAGTTCCTTGGATGGTGTGAATGAAGTCCTAACTTTTCACAGTATTCGGACAGAGAACACTTCTTTCCCATCAAAAAAGGTTTAGAGCAACCAGAACAAAATTCATGCTTACAATGTGGGCAAATTAAGTGCATACAGCCTCCTTTAGCAAGAAGATATCTGAAAAATAAGAAAGTACAATATTTTTTATATAAATTGGAGAAGCACATGAGATAATCTGTATATCTAATACTCAGAACTCTTACATGATCTTCATATAATTAAAGTTCATCAATTCTCTTAGATTAACATTATAAATGCGCTTTTGATAAAGTAATGGTTTTATGTAAATTATGTTTACAGTATTGGCCTTTAAATATATTGAAGTGAATAAACTATGGTTTGCAAAATAATATAAATATATATAAAATTATTATACAATAATAAAATTAAAATGGAGCTGAGATGGCGGAGTGGGCTAAGAAATTTGCAACCTTTATTAAGAACACTTCAGTATTTTATGCAGGTGGGTTACACCAAAGGCGGATCTACAGGGGGGGAGGCTTTCGGGCTGAAGCCTCCTCTTTCCAAAATGATAAAATATAAACATGTTTTATAGAAAAAAATATTAAAAACTATCTCTTAAAGTATTATTGTTTGTGTAATTACATTTAATAGGACTCCAAGAATCACGTAGACACTATTTCATATAGTTAGTTAATTTCTTTATTTTTTTCAAATTAATTATCGTTTTATATAAATGAAAAAAAAAACTTTCGGGCTGAAGCCCCTCCAAAATTAAATCCTGGGTCCGCTAGTGGGTTACTCTCAGGGCTACGGTGGGTTACGGCACCAGAAGTTTTTCCCAGGCAGGAGTGCCCAGAAGGGGGTTTAATGGCACAAGTTGCGCCATCAAAATTTTTGAGGGGTGCATGTTTTGATGGGTTTTTGAATGTTTGAGGGGGGCAAATTTTGACAGGGTTATGAATTTTCGGACTTGTGGACAAAGGCAACACATGGAACTGACCGCAGCAAGTGTATTTACATATAATCTGGTTATATATGATAATTCTAACTTAACTTGCTCTGTTTTTATGAAAGGTGAGCAATAAAATATCTTGGGAGGAGGGGGGGATAGGTTCTTGCACCATTGACATTGGGGGGATGAACATCCCGTTCCCAGAGCTAAATCTCTTCTCTTTTTATCTCTTTCTTTTCTCTCTTCCCACTTATCTTTACTTTATATTCCTTATCTCTACCCTATGACGCCTTATCGTTCATTCCCTTCATGATATCGGGCAATGTTTCGTTCCGTTTATAAACAATAATACTATGTGAACTTCAGAATTTATGTAAATTACAGTTACACGATTTGATCAACGATTAATACAATTAAACGAACAGTGATATAAGTTACTATTTAATTAGTAAATATTTAATTATATAAATCAATTACTTAATTTACTATTTAATAGCGCAGGAATCTCCTGGAGTGTTGCTTTTTCCTCCACAAGCGGAGAGACAATTATGAGTTCCATTGTCCGATTATAATAGTCGGTATCTTTGTTATTTTGCTTTACTTTACTATCTTTAAGATTACTTTATTTTTTATTTATTACGTATAAGTTTTTATTATTATTTAGTTGTTCCAGTTTTATTTTATTTATTATATGGTGTGAATGTACTCTTTCAGCATTACAATCAATGTCTATAATTTGACAGATTGTTATACTACTAAGAAAAAAATTCTATTGTTTCAAAACTTTCTGCTTCTGTTTTACTCCATCAAAGGTCATGATGATAAATTGACCATTACAGGTATTTGATTAAAATACTTTTATTGCGAAAGGAACAAGAAGTAAGTTTAAAAATATCTAAAATCTTACATTTTAATTCAGCTACTTTTACCTACACATGATCAAATTGTATTAATTAAATATATATTATATTTATAATATATTAAACTAATAATGTTATAAGGTTTTATCTGTTTAATTTTTTTATTAATTATTATATAAGGTATAAAAAATGTTATGCTTTGTTGCCACTGGTTGCAGTTCTAAGGAGTTCTGTAAACAGGCTATTTCTTACAAATATTTCGATCAGTAAGTTTTTTATGTTTTCCATTTGACTATTTAAAAACTTGAATGGGAACTCTGTTGGCGCTCTATAATTCTTAAAAAATATTCTTTAGTGTGAAGGTGATAATTTCAATTCAATTTTTTATTATAATAAAAGAAATATGGGGTGCTGTACTCATCACACAACTTTCACTTAGCAATCTTTTTTTATATTCAGAAATAGGTATTTTCAGAGAAAGGGAAGTGCAAGTATAAATTACAGACGGTACAAAATAGAATTTAAAACAATAAATTACTTCATGTTTACACAACCGTCTAATATATTATATTTATGCATTTTCGGTAACCAATATTAACAAACCAATTCCTTTTACGACTTTATATTTTAATTATTTATTTTATTATATTAAATATCTGTGTGCCACAAAATATGTTTAATTCGAAAAGAGTACCACTTATAAAGAAGGTCGCTATATTTATTTATGTTTCATTATTGGTATTTTTATTTGTTTAATCATTGCAATGTATATAAATTTTAATTTTTATATTTCTGTAATCTATACAAGTAATGGGTTACCCAGAAAATAGTACAGCATTTTTAGTTTTCTTTAAAATTCTCCTCTATATAACAAACCGTTTACATTAACTGGATTATTCATTTGTATGAATGTCAACACTTATTCATCCTCTTACAAACAATAAATTTTGTTTACCTACTATTTCGCCGTTTAGAAATAATTAAGTCTTTACTAAGATGTCAACGCGTGATTTTCGTATAATTTGTTAGACGAGTTAAAAAAACTCAGCCGGAATGGGGCCCGATGTCCAGAAACATCAATCAAGTCTGGGGCGAGAGAAGCATTAATGAGTGTTCTGTCCAATGGTGGTTCAAAAAATTTTGGGAGACTTCAGCCTTGAAGGCAAAGAAGGTTGTGGAAGGACTTCCTCTCTTGCTGACGATGTTCTGCAGGCTTTGGTGGAAGAAAACCCCAGAATGACTGTTACAGGGAAACTTAATCTTAGCAAATTGACCGTCCATGACCACCTTAAGGCGATTGAAAAGGTAAAAAAGATTGAAAGTTGGGTTTCACACACAAATCCAACAATCGAATACAAACAAAAAAGACCATTTTCTGTCCAGAATTGTTACTTGTGATGAAAAGTGGATACTTTACGATAACATTAGACGTTCCGGACAGTGGCTCGACAAACAAGAAGCAGCAGAACATTTTCCAAAGCTCCCAACTCATAAAAAAAGGGTGATGGTTACTGTTTGGTGGGCCTCATTTGGTTTGATACACTACAGCTTCTTAAATCCTGAAGAAACAATCAATGCCGAATCATATTCTAACCAAATTAATGCACTATATCAGAAATTGGCTATAATTAAGCCGTCTTTGGTCAATTGGAAGGGGTCCATTTTGTTGCATGATAACGCCCGGCTACGTTTCACGTGTGACATCACAAAACTGTTGGAGCTTCGATAAGAAACTCTGCCACATCTGCCCTACTCTCCTTACCTCTCCTATAAGTTCCTATAAGAATTTCAAAAGTATACAAAAATTAAAGAATATTTTTACTAAATAATCCATTACCAAAAGAGTTATAAAATTAAAAAAAAATAAAGAGATATATGAATAGCTATAAAAAATATAAAACTTACTTTGATTTACAATTTGGACAGGTTACCCCATTTTCATCAAGGTGCTGTGCTAATTGGTTTTCTGGATCATTCTCTTGTAGCCAAGCTTGATATTCCTCACAACTCATTGTTTCATGCTCTTTTTCCCACTAGAAATGAATTAATTTAGGTTTTTGTATGAAATCATTTATTTAGTTGTTTGCTTTAATTTTTTATACTTATAATTCATACTTACAGGTTTCATACACTTAGCGCATGTTACTGCTTTACAGTCAGGACACATTAGCCTTTTTTGTCTCGGGTTTGCTATGTAGCCTGAAGAACACTAAAAGTTAAGATTAAAATTTTTAGTAACATTAGCGTTGCTATTTTAGATTATATAAATAAACTAAAAACAACAAAATACCCAAAAAATATTGAGATGAAGAGTAATCTAAGGGAAGAAAATGGAGTTAGTTAAAGAAATATCTTATATGTGGGTAGCTGAAACTAATTTGAGCAAGACAAAGTTGAAGGGCAAAGGTTGCTAGCAAATACATGAAGAGAATTAAATTAGAATAACCCAAAGCTGGAGCCCAGACTAGCTTGCTTTATTCACTGCAATTATGTAATCCAGATAGCTACATAGCTACTTGTCAATGAGTAATTGATTAGTTACGCAACTGAATGGGGGTCTTTCTCTCACACTCGTTGTTTACGGCTCGCTAACACTTTGATCAAAATGTGGAAAATCCATAATTGAATATATCCTTTTAAATGAAACGAATTATACATGGGTCAACAAAATTATCTCAAATGTGTGAATGTACCTGGGATATTTCAGTTAAAATTTGTTAAGTGAGATAAGGTAACTTGTGTAGAGTGAAATTAACAACGATCTTATGGTTTCCCTCTAAAAAGCAGTAACTAGTGACCTGATTTTTACTTTGAAACAAATCATGTTGAAGGAATCAAAATTTGAGCAGAAGATACATACATATTTTGTGGATTTAGCAAATGAATTTAACAGTACCTAGAAAATTTATTAGGATATTTGTCATGTAAAGAGCTTTTAATCCCATACATACTACAGGAAGTAATAGTATTTTTTCAAATATAAGTAGAAAATATTTTTTATTTTTCAGGTTAAGGATAATTGCAATGAAGCAATTCAGATATTGAAGGATGACAGCAGTAGCTCTAAAGTAATATTTTCAATATTCTTACTACTTCATGTACTAAGAATCCATTAAAAAAGAAGAAGTTATCCATGAAAATGTCTTTTTAAAAAACAATTTATGTCTCCATACTTACACGAGGCTTGTATTTTAACAAATAAATTTGAAAATAAGCAGTAAGCCCATGAAATGGCTTCCATGTGAGCAGTTGCAGATGACTGTTGGGTCAATCAGAAATATGTTGCTTGAGCCTGAGTACCTATTTAAGTCAGTGAATTTTTCACAGCTAAATAGAGAATTAATAAGAAAAGATTCTTGAAGATTTGAAGGCACACAGTCCAAAGACAAAATATTAAGGTAAAATACTATGATGTAAGTGAGATAGTTAAAAACCTTTTCTGAGAAATTTTCAAGCCTATATTCTTTCTAACTGTAGTAAAAGTAAATATTTATCCTTTTAGATAGATAAATAATTATAGCTGGTCGGTTGATGCATAATAATATAATGAAAATCAAGAAAAGTATTAAGATATAAAGTTCAGTATCAGGCAAGTTTGTTATGTTCAAAAGTATAATGGCTTTGAAAATAAATACCTTAATACACCACTTGAAGTTAGGGTCCTGCATTAATGTTCGGTCTCGTAGTTTTCTTTGAAATAATTCATGCACATTTTCTTTTACTAAACCTTTTAGGAGTATATCTAGATTACTGAAATAAGTAAGAACTTTTTCTTCTTCTAGCTGAAAAATATCTGGTTCATTACAGAAAGGACATGTGCAATCATTTATGCTTCTTTCAGTAATTTGGAGAGTAAAATAATTATTGGCACATTCCAGGCAACATCTATGTTCACACTCCAACATTGAAATCATCTGAAAGTTAAAAATGATGATTGCAGAGAACAAATTTTATTTTTATAAATATTAAATCAGCTATCAACATTTAATATGAGGTTTACAAAACATATTGTTTATATTAACTGTCTCAGACTATCTATTTTAATAACAGTGGATATAGTAACATATCAATTCAAACTGGTAACAAACATCTAGTTCTTAAAGAATCTTGATATATATCTTGATATATCATGTGATATATTTTATAGGAGAGTTATAAGCTTAGTTTTTGAATTTTATATTGTTCAATATATCTCAAATTTAGTTGTCTTATTAGTAGACTAAAATTAATTATTCTCATATGCTTTGTTAGTTTTTTTTCAATCCTAACAAGTGGCATGTGCCCTCTCCTGGTTGGCACCCCAGACAATTTTGTGGGTTGTCCAGCTCTAAGGCAACTTGGTGGACTTGGTCCACTTGGTGGATTGCCTCCTGATACCATACGACTTCACTATTCAAGGCAATGCAGGAGATTTGATCCTGTTGTTTGAATTATTATATATAATAATTTGTATATAATGTAAATTATATATTTTCTTGTATTATATTACATAACAACTGTGTGATGAGGTTGAACTTCTGATGGCTTAGAAAGATAAAATAAATAAGAGACTGGAAAACCAGGAAAGATAATTGAAATTACAAATATAAGTAAGGTCAATGCTGTGCTATTGTACAAGGAAAAAAATGTACATTGGTTTTATTCTTTCTTTTTGAATACTAATTCTTATTTTTATTAATCTAAACAAGAATAGATGTAAATTTAACTATAGTTGAAAATTTTTAAACTAAATAACTAAACAATCTCAACATGTATTCTTATCTTAGGTTTGAAAGAGCTCTATCTTGGAATGTATTGTAACTATAAGTTTCACATTAGCCTCAAAAAATTAAATACCTAACTTAAAACAGTACCAAAAGCAATATATATTTTTTGTCACAATGATGCTTTAAAATATACATGAAGACAACGAAAATCATAGCAATTTTTCTCAAGAAGGCCGCACTATTGTCACTTCCATTGATGGGATTTATTGGAAAACTTGGGTTTTTTTTAGCATTTTACTAATCTAGGCAACATATCAAAAAATTACAATTACTCTGATTGTGACTGTCTAATTGTCAATTAACCATAATTGACTCCACATGTAGACTACTTACACTTACCATCACAGGAACACTACCGCCTCCAGTTTTTATTGAAGTAGATACATTTTTCTCCTCAAATTCTTTTTCCAGCTTTCCATCAGACTAATATTATTAAATTTGTTCTCATCTCTTTGGCAAAATTCAACCTATTTTTCTTATTCAAATAAATTTATGAGAGATCTTTTCCTGTTTATTCCGATTTAAAAATCCATGTTGTTTCAATATTCTCTGAATCATATCTGGTCTAGTTTGTTTTCCTAATATCTTGTGTTATTTCCATAGTATGTTATGCCTAGTGGATCTAGGATTTAATTTTGGGGTCTTCAGCAGGAAGGATTTTTTTTCATATATATAACGATAATTAATTTGAAAAAAAAAGAAAGAAAATAACTACCCATATGACATTGTGTCTTAGTGATTCTTGAAGTCCAATTAAATGTAATTACAAGAACAATAATAGTTTAAGAGATAGTTTTTAACACCTCTTTCTATAAAACATGGTTATATTTTACCATTTTTAGGGGAGGGCTTTCTCTCCACTACTAATATAATATAATAATAGTCTCCACTACTATCAATACATTTTTGCTAATGTGACGATCAATTTCCACTCTCAAATTATTCTATCACTTCCTGCATAACATATACATGACTTCCTACATACACGGCTGTTTGGAGTACGATGGTTTCTCGGTGACAGGCTGAAGAGACTTTTATATTGCTTCCTCGGATTTTTCGGTGAGATCACGATACGTTTCTGTATCTCCTGAAGAGAATATTTCTTAGGAACATTCCTTAATCAGATAATGAAAACTATCGCCCTTCCTATCATATCAAACTTCTCCAATTTAAGTTTTTTCAATTGAATTCCACCCCCCGCCAAGATTTCGACCTTCTGACCTTTACACACCTTTTCACAGATCTGCCTCTTTCCAAAACTCCTATTTAAAAATTTGTCCTGGCTCTTCTTTATTCACAATTAAAATTCTCCTGTTCCAAAAAAGTTTGAAACCGGCTAAGCCGCTTCTTTTTTATTTATATATTTATTTTTATTATATATTTTTTTAAGCTCCGTATTAGATGTATATACGTGATACATGTGTTGTATGTATGCACAGCATGTGTTCATTTATTTTACTTTTTTTATTTGTTTCTTGAATGTACGACTATTTAGATGTATTTAAAACTTGATTTTAATAATAGATGCATTTTCTTTTATTCATTGGAGACTTGTTACTTATCCATTAGAGGAGTTTAGTTTAATTTTGTTTTCTTTTCTAAAAAAATGTTTTAGGTTAGCGACCACTTGTCGTTTTGAGTTTTCATCACAAACTTAATGTTACATTGTCTGACATATACGATATACAAATATCAAATGTATAATGATAGGTACCTGCTTGACAGAGTATTTCCCTGCACATAGCTGACATTCCTGCTGCAGAAAAGCAATTGCAGATTCTAAGGAAACGCAATCATTTGCGGCAGCAAGAATTGCACCATCGTCTTCATCTAAGTTAAGCTCTTTTAATTGAAGAGCGATTTCTGCTTGCTGATATGTTGCCACAAGACCTTCAGCTAATAACCTCCTAGCTTCCCTCTAAGCATGATGATAAAAAGAATTAATACATTTATTTTATAAAGACTTAACATTAGATTCTGAAGATACATAAATTAAACTTACCTCCATCAAAATATTATTGGAATCGTCTTGTCCCTGAAATTCACTTTCGTTATTAAAAATAGTTTCTAATTTGTTTTTATTGTCATTGCTAGAATATATTTCTTTCTGAATTTCTTCCTTTTCAAATAAAGGCACTACAGGATCTTTTATTCCAACACCTTCCATTTCCAATATTTCATCAACTTGTGTTTCTTTATTATCATTATTATAACATATTTCTACCAAGGTGGTGTCCTGTTCTGCACTTAAAGATGCTACAGGATCATATTTCCCATCACTTTTTATTTGGAGTTTTTCCTCAATTTCTGCTTTCTTATTATCATTGATAAAACACATTTCTTCCGAAGTATCATTTTCTTCATTTAAAGCTACTGCAGAATCAAATATTATTTCAATTTTCTTTTGAACTTTCTCCCCAATTTCTGTTTTGGTTGAAAATATTTCTTCTAAAGTTTTTTCTTCTCCGTCTGAAGGTAATACAGGAGTATACATTTCTTCATTTTGTATAATCAGATTTTCCTCAATTTCCGTTTCATTATTATCGTTGTTAAGACCAATGTCATCTAAAGTTTTCTTCTCTCCAACTAAAGCATCTACAGGGAAATATATTTCTTTGTTAAGCCTTTTCAATTTATCGTCAATTTTTGTTTCGTTATTATCAATGTTGGAATAAGTTTCTTTAGAAGTGTTCTCTTCTGCAGCTATTGCTGTAACATTTCTTTCTACTTCTTGATTACTTAGCAATCTTTTTTCAGCCACGTCACTGTTTTGTAAATAATTAAGATCACCAACTCGAGTTAATAAATCACTTGTTTCTTCAGGTTCAATTTTCTTTTCGTTTACCATTTTATTTACTAGTTCAATATCTCGCTCGCGACGAGTTTCAGCTGAAGCTCTTAAAACACTTGCAAATAGGGTATGAACTATTTTTTCTACTACATCATCTTTAGTCAAATTATGTTTTAGAATATCTATCAGCTCTGTCTGATCATAATTGTATAAATTATTTCTAGGGTTATTTTCAGTATTGGTTTTAATGTCATTCTTCTCAGAAATCGCAACTTGATCTATATCCTGGTTTGGCATAATTGAATTGTTATTTTCTTCAGAAATTTGATTTCTTTTTATTGTAATCACTTGGACTGGAAGATCGTTTTGATCAATGAAATCATTGCTTTCCTCAGAAAATTCGTTACTCTCACATTCATTGATGTCGTAATCAGATTTCGAACTCGTACTATTAGTTTTGGAAGGATAACTATTTTTGGATATGGTTTTAGAAGTCTTTTGATTATGATAATTTTTTATTGTGTTTTTACTTGTTTCTTTAACTTTAGAAGTTATATTACTAGTGACAGTAATATTTCTTTCTTGTAGAACTTGTTCTTGTTTTGGGATGAAAGCTCCATTGCTTTCATTATTTGATTCATTTTCTTCATAAAGAGATGAGGTGGAACTCTGAGAAGTGGTCATTCTTACGGCATTTTCAATTGTATTACTTTCCCTCACCAACTTCTTTTCATTATTATCTGGAATAATTTCTTCAATACTATAATTATCTGAGTTGTCACTTCCTTCGCTTACAATTGGTTGTACTATTTTTTCTCTCTGTTTATTTAGTCTTTCATTAGAAAATAATTTACTATCTATTTTACCATTTGATTGAAGATTATCTGATTGACTCTTAATTAGTGGGTCTGATGCAGTCATTTGAATATTTGATTGATTACAATTATTTATTTCATCATTTGTTTTTGAAACATGTTGATGAGTTTCAATCTCCTTTTGTTCTTTATCAGTATGAATTATTTGAATATTTTCATAAATATCATTAGAACTAGAAGTTTCATTTTCCAAAATGTTTGCAGCTGTATTTTGATAAATATTTTGGTTTTCAGAGCTACTAGAGTGTAAACTTTCAAATGATTCACTGCTTGTTTCTGATTCACTTCTAGATAGTATTAAATGTTTATTATTTGAAAAAGGCATATCGATATCTGATTTTGGATTGGATATGATGGGTTTTGTATCTCTCTTCGATTCGCCGGAACTACGACTTAAAACATCTGAACCAATTTCATTTTTTGTATTGAAAATCATATTTTCTCCTTCATTGGAATCAGAATCATCAGTTTGATCATCATTAATTCCAACTACTATTGGTTTTAGTTTAATTGTAACTGTTTCTATTTCATTTATTAGGTGACCATTATTACTTTCATTATTTATTGAACTTGATTGAATTTGTTTTGGATGGTGTAAATTGTCTTCATTACGCTGCACTGTCATGCTCAAATTATTTTCACTACTGTACATGCTTTTAGTACCTATTCTTAATGATTTTTCATTTGCATTATAGAAGTTAGTTAAATATCTGTGAATATCAGATGTTTGATGTTTTCCAGAAAAATCTAAATTATTCACTTGAAACTTTGATTCGGGTTCCAAGGCATTGCCTCTATTTAAATTTAATTGTAACATTGACTGGGAAAATCTAGCTTTATTGTTTATATTTACATGATCAAGCCAGTTTTGTATACGATCAAAATTACTTTCTATACTTAAATCCACACTCACCTCTTCTGAATTCTTATCACCCTGCCCATCCAACTCACCTAAAAAATATTTATTTTTAATCTTAATACTTCCGAAGAGTACATTAAAAATTCCATTTATCTTACTGGTAGTTTTATATAACAATTGCTTACAATTTTTGTTGAGTTAACTTTTATTTACATGTTGCATTATTATGTTATATCATTATTATAATATATGTTACACAAGGGTGAACATCACCCTCCTTAAAAAATTTTGACAGCGCAACTTGCTCCACGAGACCCCCTTCTGAACACTCCTGATGTTACATATACTTAGTTCAGTCAATACATGTTCAAAAAAAGTTATAGAGCGAAAAAGAAGTCTGTTGGAAGGACTTGGGTACTTCGGCCTAATTCGAAGATAAACATAGATACTAAAAGTCCCTACTCTTAGGTGAGCGAAGGGGGGAGAGGAGGCGACACCTAGAATGAGACTTTTCGGTTTTTCGCTTGTGGTAGGCAAACTATATCTCCTAGCAATAAGGACCTATACTAATTTAAAGCTGACATTTCTTATGTTTTTGAAAATAAGGATTTTTTTTTTGTATTAAGTTTTGCATTAAATTTTTTTTCTCGAAAAGTTTTGAAAATAAAACCAGCTCAGAATTTGGTTTTTAGAATTTTTTATTTTTACATTTTGTATGTATAATGATGTTTCATATTTCAGATTTGACTTTAGTAATTTACTTGGTAATGTAGTAAACGTGGCAGCCGATGTTGTTGATTTTTTTTGTCTATTTTTGTTCTTTTTCTCCCTTTCCTCGCTTTTACGGGGCTTTCCTGGGTCAGTGAAGTGACTGGGGATTAAAGCCCCCTTTAACACCTTGAGGCGATTTATTTTATTGATGCATCTACAACGACCGATTTCTCATAAAGTGATTAATTTTTAAACACTTTCTCTGTTTAGTGAATGATAATTTATTCATAGTTATTGGTATTTGTAGTATCACGGGTATTGGTATTTGTAGATATACTGTGGCTTACAAATGATACACCTGGATATTAATAGAAATCATAAATAGTTCAATTTATATAACATTGAAAACAATAATGTATTGTAATAAATAAACGTCCTAGTAATATGTTCTTTTTATAAATTACCCTTTCTTAGAGGGCACCAGTAAGTTAAGAGAAGTTGTGAATTAAATAGATCATATCCTGATATCAAGAAGACACTCGTCAAACATCATAGATGTGAGAAGTATGGGAGGTCGTAACTGCGATTTAGACCACTTTTTGGTCAGACCTAAGTTAAGGCAAAGAATAGCAAAAGTGGTAAGATCAGAAAGAATCAAACGAACAAAATGGGGCACTGAAGAATTAAAAGTGGAGAACGAACTGAGGAATTTTCAAGAGTTTATGGATAGAGAGAAGCTAGGTGGAAACCAGCCAGAGGAGGGAAGCAGGTAAAGAGTGCCAATTGAGAAGAAATGGAAAGTTGGAAAGGAGGCTATATGCAAGGCAGCGGAAGAGACATTGAAAGAAATTACAATGTGAAGAAATGAGGAATGGTTCAATGAAGATTGTACGAAAGCCATTGAAGAGAAAAATCATCTCATACGAAAGATGTTACGGAGGTTCCCAAGACAAAACCAAGAGACCTAAAGTATGAAAACAAGAGAAGCTAAAAAAGAGAAAAATGATTAATGAAAGGCTTGAAATCAATAAAATAAAATCAGGAAATCAGTCAATAAATTCAGGAAATTTTATAAGGGAATCAATTGGTTCAGCAAAGAGTATCAAGCTGAATCATTGCAAAAACAGGAGATGCTTTGGATGAAGAAAGAGGAGTGATGAACCTGACAGAGAGGACATTGAGGATATATATGTCATCGTGGACGTGAAGATATGCAGAGCCCCCAGAGAGGACAGGATAGTTGCGTGATTGATTAAAGGCTGCACTGGTTTAATGAAAGCCCTAATATATGCGTTTATCGATGATATGTGGAGAGAAGAAAAGATACCAGATGATATTAAGATTGGATTGATATGCTCTATTCTTAAAAAAAAAAGCATTAAGGATCATTGCGCATATTATAGAGGAATAGCCCAAGTGCTGTATAAATTCCTTTCTAGTTTAGTATTAAAAATGCTACTGAAATATGCTGAGAAAATTTTAGATGATTACCAATGTGGTTTTGGAACTGACAGAGGTACTGCAGATCAAATTTTTGTTGTAAAACAAATAATAAAAAATGCATGAATGAATATGATATTGATCTGCACTTAAGTTTTTATCCAGCAGGCATTTGATAGTATCAACAGATCAGTACTGTTAAAAATGCTAATACAAAATGGAGTGCCACATAAATTGATTATTTAATAAAAATCAATATAAATATATTTAAAAATTCAATCTAAAAATATTTAATAAAAATCAAATATTTAATAAAAATAATGATATTTCTTTACTTTTAAAATGTTTAAACAATATTGATATCTCTCATGACTTTCATAGGTAACTAAAAGAAGCAAATAAAATAAAATGCGAAATCTTAGGTTTTCTAATTCCAAATAAACCAATAATATAAATTTTTCTATGACAAATTTCATTTGCACAACAGAATCATCTATTTATTATTGGTCTTGGTAATAAATTTTGATTTAAATATTTATTTAATATTATTTATAATTAATTTATTATTATTTTAATAGTTTATCTGATCTTGGTATTATAATTAATGTTTTTAAAATTTGTAAATTTCTATCTTAAAATTATGGTTAGGATTATATTATGTTTTATTTAATTCTATTTCTTTATATTTAATCAACCACTAAATTAAATTTAGTAGCAATGGTTTACTCTTGAAACATAAAACAACTTATTCGATTGTTCCGTTAATCCACTTCGGCGGCAATTAGCGCACTAACGGTAATTGGTACAAATTCTTTTTGTACCTATTTGACTTTTCTGCCAAACATTTACACATCGAAACCTAAAGACGTTTATATTCTTAGATTATGTTCTGGCGGAATGAAGTTTCTGAGGGTCTCGTCTTATTCTGAACCGTTCCGACGAGAACGGTCCATCCCTACTGGTTAGGAGTCCGCAATATGGAAGAGAAAAGTGGAGAAGAATGCCTCAAGAGGCCGATGGTCATGCTGGCCTATAGCGCTGGGGAGCTAATTATGTTAAGTAGCGTGATAATTTTTTTCTCAATGGTTATTTTGGGAAGAGAAATTACTCCTTTTCCTCTCTAGTGGTTTCGACATTGCTGTGATTAGTAAGGTAGCTGGTGTTCCTGGTACTCCCCTATCACTATCCTAATCAGTTCAGATTTTCTCGTTTTTCCTCATAAATAATTAATTTGCTAGTTATCAATATCATTTTACAAAAAAGATTCACTAAATTTCTTATTTGTTTTTATTTTAATAGATTCTTTGAATGGGATTTGACAGATGCATCTTATTCCTTAAGCATTGATTTTCATTAACTATCATACTACATGGAAATGATTCTATTTAATGTTTTTAGCATTTTTACTATTCTAGATAATACGTTTTTAAATCTTATAGGTATGCTTAAAAGTACCATGTGCTAACTTTGTGATATCTCCATCATCATTATCTGCACCTTGTGGTGGTCCCCAAATTCTCATTAAAAATGGCTTCAATTGATTCTTGTTTAGTTCTTTGTAAGCTTCCTCTAAGTTTCCATGATTGGCTGTCAGAACAGTTACTATGTCTTCCCTTGAAAAATTTCCTCTGGACAAAAGCTCAGCATACTGAAAAAAAAAAAAAAAAAATCTCTCATTTTTCATTAATATTTTTCAAACTGTGTCTCAGAATATTTATTTGATTTTTACTATTGGTTTGAACTATTGGACTAACAAGTCGTTCACCGAATGTGTCAAAACACTAAAACAATAATAATTGTAACAAAAAATTATATAAAAAAGTATTCAATGGAAAAAGCAGCTCTCTAGATGGAATTTATCATAACATTTTATAATAAGAGGTCTGAGAGTCGGTCTGGAGATTAAAGGATAGGGGATATCATTCTTTTTTGTTTATCGTACAGATATTGAGTTTGCCTCATTTCTAAGTTATCTCACACCCAGAATGAAAGGGACAGAACTGAAAATAAGTCATTTTTGTGGGAGTCATGTCGCTTACATGTACGAAAATTAGCTCGGAAAACTTCCAATATTAGACTTTGTATTCCTATGAGACCTTTAAAACTATACACTTAAAAGCCTGACCATCCAGAAGAAATGCGGTAATCCTTAACAATGAATTACTACATCCTTCTAAAATCATATTACCGATTAAAAAACAAAATGTATTAAAACCAAAAAACATTATTTTACACTTCTTCGCTCCTTTTATGGAAGCTTAAGAAGCAGACTTTGTGTTTTATTAATTTATTTTTAAGTTAAAATGGTTGTGTTTTTCAACCTCAACCGTAGCCTGAAATTATTTTTATTGAATTTTCATTACATTTATTTTCGTTGTGTATATAACATGATTGTTAAAAACAAACTATTGAATGAAATGCTTTTTGCAGATATTTGACCTTATGATAAATCAAGAATGAGATTTATCATATCATAAGAGGTCCTGACGTTGGTCAGGAGATTGAAGGATGGGGGATATCATTCCATTTGTTTATTTTCCTTGAAATTAATATACATTTTTAGATACCGAAGACCGTTAGAGGGTGCGTTTTTCTAAAACCCCTACAACAAGATTATGAAAATTTTACAGATGTTATTTTGTATGAATGATTAGATTGAATGTATTTTTTTTTATGAATGTGAGTATTTTTTACAACAATTACAAAAATATCAAAGCTTAATGTGTGTGTTTTTTTTCTTGTTGGCATTTAGATATTTTGCCGCCTTAACCAGCTTTCTCCACTTCTGCGTATCTTGGGCCATTTCTCTCCTGTTATATCCATGCAGCTCTATTGCATCTTTGTTGGTTCTATATATCCATCTGACTTTTGGCCTTCTTCGTAGTCTTTTGCCTTCTATTGAGGCATTAATTGCTGTGCAGAGGCTTCCTGATGGATTTCTCGGAGCTTAATGCCACCACTTGTCTTAAACTTCGTATCTTCATGAGATATTGATTGACCAGTTTCTGTAAGCAGCTCTTTATTGGACATTTCCCTCCATGTGTTAGTATTCTGATCCCAAATCGTTGAATATTTTTCTACTTTCTAGGGTGCTGGTTGATGCCCAGGTCGCTGGTGCCCCTTAGAGGCCAAAAGCCATATTTGTAGTGTCCATCAGGCGTGAAAAAGAAACAAACAAAAACTCTTCCATGCAAATCCAGGATTAAAGAGGAGGATCCTAGTGACCACTCTTCGTGAATATTTGTATCTATCGATGGAAGGAGGTGAAAGAAACATAGACCAGATAAATGGATATTTTTGAGGCTTCGATGGTCGAATGTGTTGAGGTGTTTCTCTCTTTAACATTCTCGAGTCTAGAGGCACCGGTTCGAATGGTCTGAGCAGGTTGAAATATATTTTTTGGTAGACCTACAATATAATTTTCGGTCTTCTCACTCAGGTTAAAATAGGTTGTACCTCTCAAACTAATTAATAAGATTTAAAAAAAGGCAAACTAAAATTTGAAGAGTTTTTAACTTTTTGAATAATTACCTTTCTTTGCCTTTGTTCTACACATTCTGTTACAGCAGCCCAAACATTACCATTATGGATCCTAAGTGCTTCTCGTGCTTCAGAAGCTGAAATAGTACCAACTATATTTTCTTTTCTTTCTTGACCATAGTTTGTACCTAGAGTAACTACTGTGTCTATCATATTTCTCCAGTTTTCTTGAAGCCAGTTTATAGGATCTCCATCTCCACAGTGAAGCAAGGCAATTGCCAAATCATCTGCAGAAAATTGATGTTCTTCTGCTTCCTGAAAAAAATGCTAAGTTTATAATTTGTTTTTAGGCAAACCGAAATATAAATTATACAGAATGTTTTGATTATAATTTAAATCAATAACCTCATTTGAAAATATCCACCAATTATCTTAATATTTAATTGTAGCACTATATCACATTCGTCAACTTTAATGATTCTTATGTATTCAAAGAATCGCAGGAGTCGTAAGTAAGTTCCTTATTTGAGGATGTTTTGGTGCCCATCAATATAATGTCTATCCTAAGCATTCAATTTTCAGTAGTCTGCCAACTCAAAGCTAGGGCGTTTCAAAATCTAAAGAGGATACTAAAAAGTTGTTTGAAGATGAATTATTTTAAGGGAACGAAAAACTTGTACCCATCGGAAGCCAATGTCATCCAAGTAAGGTCAGTATAGCTTCCTCGCCGTTTTCATTGTCTGAACAATATCTTTATTTCAAAGTCTATAATTTTTCGTAGGAGAATAAAATCTCCGAGAGAAGCCATTTTCGGAAATACAGTAATTTCTTAACATTCGTGGGTTTAATATCCACAAGTCTAAGCTAATATACTTCAGCAAATACTAAAATGCGAAAGAGTTCCGAATTAGCACATTGCATATTTGATGATCAGTGATTAAAAAAAAATCAAAATCAAATTGTCACGAATTATCGCTTCTTTTTCAGCCGCATCACTGGGATAGGAATCCAGTGGAGACTAAGAGAGGGCACTAGTAGAAACCATTAAAATCACAAATACGACTTTTTTTAATACTAAATAAAGTAAACATTTTTTATTTATTATTTATTTAGAATTATAACAATCTGTCACGTGAACAATAGTATATAGTGAGTGAGTGATACATGAACACATTCACACCATATATACAGAAAATATAAAATAATTATTGAAAACTATGTACAATAGAAAGACTAAAATAACCTAAAAAATAAGTAAATTAAAAAACATAAAAACACAATCATACAATATATACAATTAGGCAGGGAACCCTAAGCCAGGCTTCTCCCCCAACTATAGAAGGGCAGGAAAGCAGGACTCTAAGAGATCCCTGCGCTACTCTCTCAACCGCGTCACTGGTGCTAAAGCTAGTGGAGAAAGTAAAAATTAATTAAAATTTAGTGAAAATTTCATGAAATCTAAGTGAAGGCAGTAAGTATTATAGTGCTTGGAATCGACCAAACAATACAATATTTACAATTAACTTTTTGAATAAAACCTTAATATTATAAGTTCATAAAAATATGATATTAACCTAATCCCTATTCCATGTTATCAATACCTTCTAAACTGTACATCCATTATATTATTAATAGTTATTTATATTAATATTAATTATTAAATGGAATGAAATGATATTGGTACTAGACGATTTCTGAACCATTCTACAAATCTCCGCCAAGTTTGGGTCAAATTGAACAAGCCGTTTTCAAGCTATAGACGTGCCAAATAATACATTTACTGATTCGAAAGCAGAAGTATTTTTTTTTTAGATTAGTGGATAGAGTTTGATAAAATTGATAATTTCTTAATTATCTGTTTAGCAACCCCAACTTCCCTCCAAATTAGAGCTAAATCGAATTAGCGGTTTCAGAGATACAGACGTATCAAGGAAAACGCGTTTGCTCATATATTAGAGAAAGTAGACGACGAACTTGAATAAAATCGACGCAGAATCATTTTTTTTTCCAAAGTCCATCTTTCTCACAAATTTGTGCCCAATTGAACGAGTCGTTTATGAAATATTGGCATATCAAAAAAACAGATTTACGCGGGCGCAAGCGGAAGAGCTAAACGGAATGAGATAACATCGATATGGGACCATCTAGACACCAATCCGCACAATCCATGAATTTCACAATTCATAAAAATCGGATGAATAGGTGATATGCCCATCACATCGATTTGACTACAGACAGACACCGAACCAAATTTGATCCTTGAAGTCCAAAACGTAAAACGCGAGTGGAAAATTTCGATTCTGCGCACAATTTTTTTTTCTCTCGCACGAATACAATGCTTCCTACCTTCGCTAGTGAGGAAGCAAAATTGTCCCCCCAAATTCGGAAGCGACTCGTACCTGCGCGTAAAAAAAATTTAAAAATTCAGTTAACTTATGCTTCATCATTTCAATATATCGCTACTTCATTTTGTCTGTACGACGGTCCCATCCAAATTTTGGCACACATTTTTTATTACATCTGTCGGCATATATTTCCATTTTTGCTTGAAATGAATTATCTAAAAAAATTATACTGTTGGATAAAAAAAAAAAAAAAATTCGTGAATTTAGAAATTGCCTACCCGTGTGAAGGCGCTTTCAAATTGGGACAGGTCATTTTTTTTTTTTTTTGTCATCTGCCGTGGGTGTCTAGTTTTATTTATAAGAGAAAAAAATTCGTCACATTTCACGTGTGCTTGAAACAAATCATTCTCAAATTGTGCACTATAGAATAAAAAAAAAAAATTCTAATTTTTAATAATTTTCTTCTACCGTTGCATATACCTCCTAGTTTTGGCTGACAGTATTTTTGGCTCGTAGGAGAGTGCAGTTTCTCATGTGCCTGAAATAAATCATCTTTAAATTTTTCGAATTTTGAGACAGCCAGGCTTTGAATTGGCAGCGCTTTGAATCGAATGCTCAGGATGGACATTATATGGATGTGTGACTGGAAATTCTCTTCAAATAAGGCATGGAATTTCGCATCAACCTTACACTGATTGTTCAATCAAGGAGTATTGATTTTGAGGAACTTGTTAGAAGTACTTAAGAGGTAAACATACTAAAAGTCACCTTTACCCATTCCGCTTCATAGTTGGTGCGTTGGAAAGTTTCTGTTTTTGCAATTACATCTTGAAAACTGATTAACACGGATAGACGTGTTCTATTCAGAATTAAAGATAACAACGTTGTTTCCTTCAGAAATGTTTTTTATTCATTTTTTGGTTTCTGATATAGTTTTAAAGATATTCGACAATTTCGGAAAAAATTAATGTTTACTTGACGTTTTTTGTATAATTCGCATTTTAATTTCACGGTCATTTGTTTTACTGAAAAACTGAAAAGAACGAAATTTTATTTTTTCCAATAGTATACCTTTATTACCACTATATTAACATTGACCTTCAATGGGTCAAAAGTTATTGTAGTTTAAAAATTCTGCTAAATTTCGTGATTATTTGTAAAAAAATGTTTAGGTTTATTTGTTTTTGTTAATTATCAATTTATTAATGATTCATTACCCTTGCTCGAGCTGATTTGTTGGCTATCTATCCATGAAAGGTATATACTTTATCTTTATAAAGTACACAATGGTTTATATATGTATAAAACTTTAACCTACAGTTACAGTAATTGAATAACCTATATCTGACTATAATTTAAGACACTCTAAGAGGTCCATTTGAGGTTACGAGAAACAAGTTTTTGATTATCAGGAACCTCTAATTTTTTTTTTATAAAAAATAAATAAATTAAGACCTCACGTTACAGCAAAACATTAGTTGGTAATGATCTAGTTAGGCCTGAATGCGCAGAATTAAGTTTTTCTTTTATAATTTTATTTCTCCTTTTGTTTAATTTGTTTTCCAAAACTTGCTATTTATCATAAATATTACTAAGGCTCAGATTTTTATGTAATTGCATGTTTTATTTGCATGGAGTTTTTAAGCTGCTGATCAAATATCATCACGAATCGGGTTAAAATGAAATTAAACGAAATTTATTATAGATATCTTTTCATATTTGGAGATTTTAGCAAGATATATTATTTATTTTTACAACATAATTTAAGGTTTTTATTGAATTATATACTATAGCTTATTAACCCTATCATATTCACAGTGGAGAAGATTTTCATTAATTTGACGATTTGGTTCTTATGAGGATACCTTAAGGTCTTGATGCCTGTTATCTTCACCTAGCTGCCTTACAATCTAGTTTTATAATAAGAATAAATTTTATACTGTATTGGTTTATACTTTGAATTACTTCTCTTAAAATTAGGACAGTTAAGATAGTTAAAATTATTTATATTTACTCACTCTTAACAGTTTCACCATTTCCAGACCTTGCTTAACCTGCTTTTGTACGAGAGAACTGATGTATTCTGGAGGTTGAGATCCTGCTCGTCTTATGCTCTGTAGACAAAAATAAGATTACTGTATGGTTTATAAATATCCTTTCTTAAGAAAAAAAAAAATGGCAACACTGAATACCACACCTCAAACCGAAAAAAAAATTAGTTGACTACAATTAAATAAACTAATTATCTACTTAAATTAATATTAACTCTTTGGCTGAACTGGTCTGATGATCTCCGAAGAGCATCGTTCTTCTTTTGCTCTGGGCTTAGTGATCGAGGTGGTGTCACCGGCAAGCTCTGAAAAGTGTAAATAATGTTCATTATATGGCTGTGTTTGGTCAAAAGAGTTTTAGTTATTATTTTATCTAAAACAATTGTTATATCTTCTTGACCAAAAAATTATGCTTTTTTCATAGGTACAAAAGGCATTTCCAGATGAATCTATATTAAATATAGTCTCACATATAAATAAATATTGTTAAGCCATTTGTACCAATCGAAAAATAAGAGTTTTTTTAAATTAAAGAATAGCATCATAATCATATCTGGGTAGTGATGCAGGCATATAAAAAGATAAGTTCGTCTCCTAGCTTGGTGCATCTTATCTTCTTCATTAACTTATATTAGACTTCTAAATAATAATAAAATACATTGTTGGGTGCTTTTTATTGTTTCATCTTTTAAAATGATATAATTTCTTTTATTTTATTGGATTTTAAAGGAAATTTTGTAAATGGGTAAGATAAATCAACTAATTTATTTTTCAGATTAACATCAGATATCACATCATATATATATATATATATATATATATATATAAATGTATTATTAGCATTCACTGAATGACGTAACTAAGGAAAAATCCCAATGTAGGGGTTTTTCATTAACACCACTTCTCCTTCCATAATAAATAACCACTTATACATGATAAATAACTAGAGAGAAATATTTATAGGAGTGATAGCATACCTTAAGACCGACAAAATCTGGTGCTCGCAACACACAACTTTCACTTACCGATCTACTTTGAATAGAAATTATTTTCAGGCAATGCTGGACTATTATAAACATTTTTGAAGTGCATTTTAAACGGAGCTAAAGCTTAAATCTTACAGATAACAAGTCATTAAGACCATTATAATTACAAAATGTCTATTTAATATATCGACGACAACCAATAAAAATCCAGTCACTCCATCTGCTTTTATAAACCACACAACTTTCTTTGCTTTTATAAATCACAGAATGACTAACTCCAATTTCAACATTTCTGAGTGATGTCATTTTAGTGATATTTTTAGTTGAAAAAGTTATCTATGCAGACAATGAGTAAGTTGATTCCGAAGATGGTGATTACAGAGTTGAAATATAGAACTAAGAATAAAGGTATAAATTTAGGTACTTATTTCTTATGAAAGATGTTCTTTGGAAAGATACTTTATTAAATGTCTGTAGAAAAAAGGTTTTTTTATTCTCAACAATTAAAAACGTATTTTAAATTTATCCAAATTTTCGCCTCTTCAGGGAAAAAAACTACTAGAGACCGTATCTTTCCTCCTAATAGTCCGATCTTAACGATTTTTTTTTGGTTTTTCTGGAAATTCCATAAACTTTTAAAAAACTTTAATTTATTAACTTACCAAATGAACTTTATAAACTTATCAAATTCTTTAAAAAGTTATATTTAGCATTTTTTTCGTAACTTTGAATAATGTGAAATGATTAACTTTTTAAAATAAACCATATTAAAGGTACTTTAGAGGAAGACGTATATGAACATTGGACATTTAAGCCCTGTAAAGTGACATCAATGGGGATAAGACCTAATTGATGTTAAAGACCACTTAATTATACAATGATACACCGAGTTTAATCAAAATCGTTAGAGCCGTTTTTGAAAGAGTGTGAAAATGTGTTTCAGCATTCATATAAAGTGGAACTTCCGGTTAGCCGATTTTAAGCAAAAAATTGCCGTCACATCTAAGGCATATACCTATCTTAAATACGTAATATCAGTTTCGTAGGACTTTTCGTTTTTGAGCTAGACTGCTAACATACAAACACACAGACCATTTTTCGGGACTTGGTCATTTCGACTCAGGGTACCCCAAACGTGTATTTCAGTTGAAAACTCAGATTCAAAAATTTTCTCGATCGCAATACTTACCCTTACTATATATTACCTATATACGTAAGTGAAAGTAAAAATTTTATAAACATTGGTCTAGTTTTTGACAAAAAAGATGTAAATTTACGTTTTGTATTTTTGTAAGTGTCCGTGCTTTTTTGGGGAAGTCTTTTAAACAAAAATTTTTATATTTTTTATTATATTTTATATTTATTATATTTTATATTTAATTTTTTTTTTTTTTTTTAAACACTGCATCCTCAATATTTATCACCCATGATATGTCGACTAGCTTCGTTCAATATGTCATGCTTTTTGATGAATAGGAAGCGATAACGAAATAAATACTAAATTTAAATTGTTAACGATTTCTCCCCCGCGAACTAGACATACTTTAAATGAAAATAGAGTTTGAACCATTTGAAGAGGTCTTTCGAGCGGGCAAACTAAGTTCTGCTTACGAAAAAAACATTAAATTATTCGGGATTTTTTTTTTTCATCATCCTTCTAACTATACTACAGATAAACAGTTTTAGATTAACTTCCTCGTTTAATAAGATTTATTAATTAATTAATAAGTCTATATTAATTAAATTGAGGTTTATTAGGGAAAAACTTTAGATTCACCTCAATTTATATTTTAAAAAAAAAGATGTGATTTTACACACCTTGAGGTGAATCTGAAGTTTTATAAGTGAGGAAATAAATGTTTCTAGTCTTAAATTTACGTTTTCATGAAAATAATTGAAGCAAGCAGCAGGTTTGACCTAATCTCACTTCTTTTTAGTAATTTGATACATCATATTTTAGCAACTGCGTCATCCCATTTATTCTATGTTTAACTCTTACATTTTTATCTTTTAATATACCATTACATTTCCTCGTTAATTAATATTTTTCATACCTTTTGTAACCTAATTTAATTATGTTTATTTCATTCAATATGATTATTTCATTAGTCACTAACTTTGTTACTGTTATTATTTATTTCATAACTTCCTCTCTATTACTGTTATATTAACATTTTCTTTTTAATGTTAATAGTTTCTCACACCTATTCTTATCTGGTCTTTCCTAAGCTCTGATAATGGCCTGAACTTTGGGTCGAAAAGTTGGCAGAAATAAATATCATTTATTCATTTTTACTTTTTCGATCGAACAACCCAACCAACTTCTCTTCAATTTTCACTTCAGTTAACCATCCACTATTATAAACACAAAAACATTGATCAAATAATGTAAAAACCTGGGGCTAGAAATAAATACGAACAAATCAAATATATGATTAGCTGCAGAAACGGCAATGATTTCGGTGATATAGATATATAAGAGGATATGTAGAGAAATTTAAATATTTATGACCAATGTTATTTAGAAAAAGAAAATAGTATATTGGAGAGGAAATTAAGCCCAAGTTAAAGGCGGAAAATGGTTGAAATTTTTCAGTTGTAAAAAAACATAGCTTGCATCTTCTGTCCCGAAATTGAAAAAGTAGGATATACAAAACGGTTATACTTCTTTACGGGCGCGATACATGGCCGCTTACATTAAGGGTTGAACAACACCTAAGGGTTTCTAAAAATAAAGTAATATGCAAAATATTTGGACCGAAGAAATATGAATTATCAGTAGAATTTAGTAGACTATATAACGCCTAATTTAGTGAACTGTAACCGATGAATAAAATTATGCTTAGTAGTGAACCAGTCCCAAAGATCTCTATTTATTACCGCGTTGTATTAATCTGAAAAGGTTAATTATTCTATTCGCCTACTGTTAACTCTTTAAAAAAAGCACCGAAAGTGGGAAGATTGCCTTAAGACTGATCATGGCAGGTTGCGTTCATGCGGCATCGAATATTCGGTTTCGATAAGCCTTTATTATTATTTAATAAAAACGTACATTATTTTTAAAATCATTATACCATTACAGACTGTTCTCCCATGTTTAAATAGAGCGTATGATTAAGTTTTTTATATGAATGATTAATTTATAAAATAAATTTCAATATATATTTGGCTTGTAATTTAATTTTTTTTTTAATTAACTGGCTTTTATTGCTGTTCATGGACTGCGGCGCCATTTCAGGACCCGCACCATCCACGCGACCGACGGCCTTGCATAGTGGGGCCGGTACTCGATAATGTTAATATCATTCATTTGATAGGAGGAGGGGAGGAATTATATTTAGGTTCTTCATGTGAGAAAACGCTGGTCGTAGGTAACTCAATGGAATTAATTGATTACCTATAGAAATTGATTTTAAAATGCAACATTGAAGCTGAAATTAAAGATTGCAATTGCAGGTTCAATTTTAATAGAAAAACCAAGGAAATAATGCTACGTTTAGTAATTGTCTCCTTAGAATAGAATTTTTTCCTGTTTTTTCATATTTCTATTTTGTCTATATCAAATTTTTAAATAACAGGCTCAGTTTCAATGTCAATTTTTTGCTAATTTTCTTCACAAGCGTTAATATTTATTATCATTTCTTCCTCAATACCAAGCATTGTATTCTTGTGAGAGGTTAAAAAATATTTTATGCTTAGAATCAAAAAATTTCACTCGTGTTCTACGTTTCAAAGATCAAGGATCAAATTTGGTTGTGTCTGTCTGTTGTCAAATCGATGTGACGGGCATATCACCTAGTTCCTTTCATCTGATTTTCATGAAATTTTTAGGGATTGTGCAGGTTGGTGCCTAGATGGTCATGATATCAAATTCCATCCATTACTTCCGCTTGTGCATGCGTAAATGTATTATCTTAGATATGCTAATACTTCAGAATGGGGTTGTTCGATTTGGCTCAAAATTGCAAGAAAGGTGAGTTTGGTAAAATAATGATTCAATATAGATTTTATCTAATTCTGTCCTCATTACATCTTCAGTATATACTGAGATTTTTTAAAATCCTGATTCATCAAATGCGTGATTTGCAAATGTAGAATTCTTCCGTATTTTAGTCTTCTCTGATGAACAAAATTGGTGGATATCTTGCCGTATTTCCGAATTTTTTAAATTTTTATTTACTATAAAATAACCAAAGAAAGTTGAACATTAGACAATAAATTAAATTAAAAAATATTAGTGATGAAATCAAACATGAAAATAATGAGTGGCTTCGTATCAAAGACGGATCTCTTTCATTTTCAGAAAACAGAGAAAAAGTCCATTTTTGTTAATGGGTTCAATTCAAACTGTTTCTGATGATTTTATTTAAGGATATTAAAGTTGAATCTGGAAAAAAAAATCATTAAAATTAGTTTATATTGAAGATTAATTAATTAAATTAATGTTAAAGACAATTTTTTTTCTTAACTTTTTAAAAATGACATTAATTAACATTTGATATTAAGCCGCTCATATGTGCTTTCTATTTTCTTTCTTTTCCATTTTGCTATACTGAGACACAGCAGCGCCTGCCCGAGTAAAGCTAGTATTGTACAAAAACGTGTGTATTTAAGAAGTTATTTTGATAACCTTAGTTTATTTTTGTTTCTATATATTTAGTATTATTATTTTACTGTTTTTATGAATTTATCCGTTCGTTTTTATTATTTTATCCGATGCCAAAATTAAGTGATAAAAATCCAAACTGCGCATTCTAATTAAATTGTACATAAAATTTTGCAGTGTGGCTGTTGATATAATGTATCAATTATTAATTATTTTATAATTGGTAATTGGTTGACTGTCGTGGATAATGAAGAGAAGAATAGTTGGGGTGGTCAGTGAACTTCAGGTCGAAACGTCGGCATGTGTAAAAAATAAATATTATCATTTATTTTTGCCTTCCTTTTTGACTGACCACCTCAACTATTCTTCTCTTCATTAATTATTTTAGCACATTTTAAAAAATTCTGATTTTTTTTATTTCATTAAATTGGTTTAGGTTATTATAAATATGTCTTCCATTGAACACATTTTGGAATGTTTGTCAATGTGCTTCAATTACATTAGCTTTTACTTATAGATCTTTATTATTGAAGTTTATCATTTTGAAAATTAATTAATTTGGAAAATAAAAAATATGTTAAAAATGTTTCCATAATTTTTAATAATTATAAGTAACACAGACTGCTAGGCCGAATTACTCCTTACGGAGAAATTAAATTGCTGTCATCACACATTTAAAGCAATATTTAGAAGCTTTTGTAAATTTATAATACTTCAGTTCTGGAAAAAGCTAATATTTTATTTATAAGTTTAATGAATCAGACAAGGCTTGTAGATCATATTTATAAACTGATAGCTTAATAAATAAATGTATTAAACATTATTAATTGCAAGCTGTGCTGAGACCTTAATGTACTAAAATCTGATACAAATATGTTTGTGCGGAGTATTCATACGGTATATTGTTATATTAGATTTTTTATTTAACAGAAGTACGATAAAATAGTTTTTAAACAATTTCAAAACTTCGAAATGCGTAATTATTTTATCAAATTATGTTTTATAAGGGTTGCCGGGTAACGCGGTGCACACGCATCTGTGGGTGGCCGGCAAACACGTATTTCTGTAAAAAACTCAAATTAGAAACTTTTCACGATCGCGATACTTTCCTTTAACTACATATTACACAAATACGGTAGGATAGAGTAGAAGTTTTAGGCCGATAAATTGCGAGATTATTACGCCCGTTACAAAAGTAGGTAACTGAAAGTAAAAAAATCTGCGTGCATCACACAACTTTCACTTACCGCTCTATTTAAGACTTGGGATATTACAAAACGTCTTTGAAATACATTATTAATGGAACTAAATCTTAAAGAACACATTTGTGAATTCCGGCCATTTTTATCAGTGTAAAGGCTTTAACATTAAAACATAGACATTAAACATTAAATTATATCCCCTATTACAAACCCTATTTATTATATCGACAGTAGGTAATAAAAACCTCATAATTTTAACATTCTATTTGAACCAGATAACTCCAGCCTTTGAGCTCTCTGTAAAAAGTGAAATTTGATAGTACAACTCACGCGTACTCACATACACACCGTTGAAACTTTGGTATTTCCGTTTAAAACTTAGATTCCATTTTTTTCAAAATCGCAATACTTTTCCTTACTATGTATTCAATATATAAGTAATTGAAAGTAAAAATAATTGAAATAAACGATTGCACTATATTCCTGTACGTACATAATATCGTCTCGTTTTCTGAAGAATAACTAATCAAAATAAAATAAAAAGTGTTACGTACCTGTGTGTCGCTTAGAAGAGATTGTTTACTCGTCGATCTTTGTGGAGTTCTCCAGTTTCCGTAATCAGCTAACGACGTTGCTCTTTTCAATTTACGACCAGCTTCCTCATATGTCTAACCAAATAATATAAAAAAATGTGTTAATATTGGAATAATTGGGTAGAAAAATGTTTTAATTGAAAAACCAAGCAGGACTTGTTTTTATGGTTGATTCTTTACCTGCGTTGAGATACTTTGTGGAGGTGGAGACGTTCCTTTAGAGGCTAAATTTCGGTTAGATTCTGAGATACCTACAACATAGTTTCTTATCGATTTCAAAGAAGGAAGTGGGATGTTTAATACACTAGGGTGTTATGAATTAGAAGGACTTTATTATTTCCAAATAATGTTTTCTTACATATGATAACAGTTAATTGTATTTTTTAATGTTTCAAGAGTACAGTTTAGATCCTATACAAAATGAAATAGTTCTTCGCCTACCTCTCTTCTCCTTCAACTCCTTAGTAGGGTTCTTGGGCAATGGTTCGTTTGGTTGTTTATCTTCTATTATTAATTTTTTCATGAAGTCTCCTGAAGGTGGTGATGTTGTTTTGCATAATTTCGGTTTTGCGGTTGTCTTACAGCAAACAGTGCAGACCCTCGTCCCTCCTTGGTTAATAAAGGTGCAGTGCTTACATTCCCATTCGGTATCAGGAATAGGCCCTAGATCTTCCTCGTCTGCTTTGCGCAACTCAATTCCATTTATGAGATCATCTTCATGCTCTGACTCGGTTTGTCTTGCATTTTTTATATTGTCCTGAATTCCATCTCTCGGAATGCTCGGAGTTTTGATAAAAGAAGATGGTTTTCTTCCGATATCTGTAAAATCTTCATTTCTTTTACTCTGGCTTTTGACCGACCTTGATCCGTCAGATATATTCGACTTTGCTATGAGCGGTTCAGATTTTTTTCGTGACATGTGCATATCTTCAACATCAGACATGATTTTTCTCGTACTTTTTTTCGCAACAAAATCATCATCACTCTCTATATCAGAAGTTTCAGAATCCTTAATCCTTCCATCACTGTCATCATCATAACATTTATTACGTTGGACGTCATTCAACCTTTTTTGAGAACGAGGTAACGAATTTTCCAAGTCACTTCTTCTACTTCCGCGTAATGACATTGATCCAGTCCGATTTCTTCTACTTCCACCGTAATTGGACATGGTTTCAAAATCTTTTCGACGATTCCCTTTATTAGATGAAGTTTCAGCGTCTGTTCGCCTCCCACCTCTCACAGAATGAGTATCGTCGTATCCGTAACTCTTTGGAGTTTTCGCTGAAAGAGTACTGAATCTTCTCTGACGTTCCTTATGTCCACCAAATTCACTGTCACTATCACTCCATTCTTCCCTAGGAGGATATCGGTTTAAGAAGGCAGAGCTTTGCCACGTTCCAGCGGCTGGCATTCCGTTCCACGGATTCCACATTGGTTGTTTCTGACAGCTAGGACAGTTTAGATGAGCCATTGACTGCGACTAGAAAAACAACAAATGTAGAATTAGCATTTTTTTCTTCTTGATATAGATTCTTTAAATTCTATTAGTATAAAAAAATAACCTGCATCATTAGTCCGAAGTTTGGAGGATTAAGATTGCTGAAGCTCCCCGACCTTGGCCCTCTTTGAAATTCCAACCAATCTTGACAGCCGTTGCAGTTCATCGCCTGTACGGATTTTTTATTTCAAGTTATATTAATCATAATAAACATAAATTTTGATCCAAAGTGTCAAAATAAATACGTACAGAATCATGGAACTTCATCATGGAATTGTTTACGGGCATTTGGTTCTGATGTTCTATGCCGTCTGGAAAGGAAAGAATAGCAATGTAAAGAAGAGCATTGAACTTATATGGCAAGTCTCAAACTAAACTTACGTGGGACTATGGGTAGCTGCCTTCCGCCAATCATCCTCTTCAGGCTACCCATCAATCCCTGCTTTGGATGCAATTGTTCTCTCTGAAATAACAACTCTATCATGATAAGCCGTATAAGCTATTTAATCACTAATATCTATTTAAGAGGTGTGGTTTCAGTTACTTAGTAGTATTAATTGTACACCATCAACTCTATTACAAAATTATTTCGATGAAGAAATAAATAAATACGTAAATCTTGAACTAATTTGAAAAAGTTCCTTCTTTAAAAATAGTTGAGCAATTAAACTATTATGACATAAAGCTATAATTTGTATAACTGCAGCTGATTGACTTAAATTTTATGAAATTTACTGTTTAAATATTTATCTAAAGCCTATCCTTTAGTTAAATATAAAAATACCCATTTATATACTTGAAAAATATCATTATTATTTCAAAATTCATATAAATATTTAATTATTTGTTGAGATATTATTCCTGTAACATACCATTTATCTCTAAAAACTACTGCTATTACTTCATAAGTTAAGTGAATCACAACTATTTGAAAGAACTCTGCACCGGCTGCACCTTGGACCTTCATTAGATTGCAATGTAAATCTGCAAGTTATGGTTTTATGATGTTACCTACTTGGGTTGGTAACACTACTTCCGAACCAAGTGATGAACCCAAGACAATATATAGTTTATACTGGTGCAGCTTTATTTTAATTCAATACAAAGTTATGCTGAATTATTATCTATAATTACGAAGAAAAAATATACCTGTGAGATTTGGGGACTGGGCGGTATGGGGGGTGGTTGGGGTGAGTGTTGGGGGCGGGGTGTTGCTCTCTTGTTCCTCCGGGGTGGCGGGACGGGCGGTGGTTGAGGCTCTCCTTTCGGCGGCAGCGGTGGAAGTCCTCCCCCTTCCAGCTCCTACCAACAAAATATTGATACTAAAGAATAACTACCTAACTCGCTTATCAACAATAGTTTTGCCATACTAGTATAATTTATCATATAGATACACTTATAATTGATTAGGGGTGGTCATTTTTTCATTTTAGAGATGGGCAAAAAGTACTCTAAGTAAAAAGTAGTTTACTCAAATACTCGCGCCGCTCGAGTACTGAGTACTTTAATCCACTACTCGACCCGATGATTGACCAAGTACAAACAGTACTCAACTGTCCTCGTGAGTATTTTCCATTTTCACATTCACTCAGAATTATTTTAGTCTGATTATGTTTCAAAATAATCGAGTACTTCTTTATAAAAATTACAGGAGTAAAATATTTAATATTTGTTCAATATTTTTGTCGATTGTTATCTTATAGGGGGTAAACTTTTTTAAAATAGGATCGATATTAATGTAAATAAAAAAAAATATCGAATTATTAAAATATTTTGAATTGATTCCATATTGGGGCCCATTATCATTTTTTTTCCTTTTTCCTACACCTCTTGACTTAGGCTTCCATCATTATGTTTTGGAGGGAGGGTGGGCGGTTTTTTTTAGAAATACTATCGGATTCGAGAGAGCGCCCCCGGGCATCGACTTTTTGTAACTTTTCGGTTTTAATCGATGTCAAGGTTTTCTATTATGTTTTGGAGGGCGCCTTTTATGAAGAAACTGTCCAATTTGAGATTGCACCCCGGGCATCAACTATTTGTAACTTGGTGTTGGTCTGCAGTTGGTCCAATATATATATATATATATATATATATATATATATATATTATATATATATATATATATATATATATATATATATATATATATATATATACTAAAATACATGTATTTATTTATTTTTATTATAATATTGTTATTTATGATCCTATCAATGTTACTAATATTATTACTTGTGAAAGGATGTAATATAACTCAATAAAGAAAAAAGGAAAATGATCTAGTATTAATAATTGCATTGCACCATATCATATAGATTGACCCATCAACATATTTTTTTTTTTACTTAATGTATGTTATAAGCGGCTACTTTATTATTTCTATTTCTATTTTCGAAATCGCTGAACAACGTTATTTTTTAAATAAACAAACAAAGCCATGTAAGATCAGTATAGATTCCTCGTCATTTATGTTGGTTACATTACTTATATTTCAAGGTCTATAATTTTTCTTTGGGCATAACGTTTGTGGTGTAAAATCGGGAAAAGTCGATTTAAAATACAGTAATACAAAAAAGCTTGGAGAGTTCCAAATTTCCGAAAAGCGTATTTGACTATTCCTGTTATATATAAAATCGGGGCAATATACAATTGTTAATACAGTATGGATTATATTGAACGCCTTACTCTTTAACAATAAATAGTTCAAAAACTGTGGAATATGATCCTTTATTACTTGGAAATTTATGAGGGAAATTGAAATCACAATGATTGAACATGAAAATAAACACAATCACATATAAGATATATATAGAAAGTATTAATTAAAATTTACAAATATATATATATATATGTGTGTGTGATTTGTTTATATACGGGTAGCTTATCACTGAAAAATAATAGAATTAATACTATAAACATTTAAGGGGTGGGGTAGGCAAATTTTCTTGGACCTAGGAGTGTTCAAACTTTAAATTCGATTATATTTATAAACTATTTGTAAGAAAGTGTGCTTTGCCAACTGATGTCAAAGCCGAAGGAAAGTGGGAACCCGCAACATTAATTGTAATTCGGGATGAGAGAATCATTTTCATCTTAAGATATAATTATATAAAATAAATAATCGCTTTTATTTTAAGAATCTTTCATGCGATGTTAAGATCAATTTTGAATTGTTAAAAAGTAATTTGTATAGGATTTTGCAAAATTAAAATCCGAGAGAAATCTGGAAACAATTTTTCATTATTGGCTGCAGTAGTGAATTCCTCGAAACACGTCAATGTCTTAAAATATTAAAATATATATCTGCAATAAGTTTCGTTTTAAAAAGTTTGTTTAAGTTTTTGACATAAAATCGAAAATTAATATTTTTGAGACATAATTTAAACCGAGATTTTTGTTTTCAAAAACCGTGGATGGACTAATACTTTCCATTCCGAAAGAGGCCCATTCAATTTAAAACTTTTTTTAGGACAGTTTCAGATTCTGAAAAAAAAGCGGAGAAAACGTAGAAGCTTTAAGGAGAGAAAATAATTGCGTACTAACAGACATACAAAGAATTTGATAAAAGGCTTTATATTTTATTTTAATATATTTTTATGGATCTTAAATTATATTTTAAAGTAAAATATTGTTTATTTGTCACTTTCATCTTTAATAAAGTATTAAATATTAATTAAAGTATTTTTAATTACCAATACTACAATATCCTAGGTACAATAATATGAACATTAATCGTACCATTACTACGTGAAATACTTGCCTTTCTTGTGTGAAATTGCCTCTTTGGATGTCGATGATACATTTCGTCACAGGAATAACAGAAATTCTGTTGAACACATTGCAAGCACCTGACCGCCGGTGCAGAGGAACCGCATAGGTCACATCTTTTTCTCTCTCTTAATTCTAAAAAGATATTGTTAATTATGAAAAAATAAGATTCACTTTCCTTAAATTAGTATCACAAATGTATTATGATGCAAAAAATTAAAATTAACTTTATATAAATTCTGAATTCTTAAAATAGGGAAAAAATTTGTCCTTTGTAATTACAATTTTATTAATTGGAGTATTCAAGATAATTAGGATCGGGTGCTCTCCCATCTCCTTCCTACATGGATTTGTCTTTTTTTAAAAAATGAAAATAATAAATAAACAAATCTAAAAAATGAATTAACAACCAGAAGTTGGTTGTTAGTATTTTAACATTCTGAAAGGAATTAATTACTAAATAAAGCCTAATTCTCCCAAATTTAAATTAATTACTCCCCCCCTTAAATAATTACCACTCTCTCTTCAATCTTGAGGTGGCTTTGTATTGGTTATTGCAATTGAACGAAAGAAGTTGAATGATGGTTATTTTTAGTTTTAGTTTAATCAAATAGAAACAACTTTTATGTAATAAGTGCCAGATTAACCATACGGCCTAAGACTTAGAGAAAAATACGTTTAAGAAGTTTTGATTTGCTTTTTTACTAATACTTACTTCTGTATGAAATATATATTAAGGGAAAATATAAAAGCGATCGTGAAAAATTTCGAAATTGAATTTTCATCATGTTGAAGAAAATCTTCGGAAATAAAATTGGTAATATGTAGTTGGAAGCCAATGGTCATAGAAACATTAATATCAAACATACAAATTTTTTGAGAAGGTAATAGAAATAATAATTTCTGAAAAGTGGTGTTATTTAACGGAAATAAAATGTTTCCATCGTAACTTTAAAAATTATTTTTAAGCTCGATCAACTAAAAATATATACTGCATCGAATTTTCGTTGTAGAATTGTTTAAAAACTATTCTATGTACTTTCGTGAGAGAAGTGCATGCCTCTGCAAATATTTTAAGCAGTTTTTACGGGTTGATAAAACTTCTTATACATAAAACCAATGGTAATAACCTTTAATAACTTTACCCTCGATTATAGATTTATATATTAACAAGCCCTATTTGAGATTGAATTTAATTATTTAAATGTAATCATAACATATAACATATATATTCCGAAAAAAAAATTCAAAAATTAGTTTTTATGATTTTAAGAATACAATTTTTTTTTTTAGTTTTGATATAGATATGGTAAAATCAAATAAAACCCAATTAAAACCTTAGTACTTGTGAAAAGAATATTTTTAAAAGAATTATAAGATTTTTTAAATAAAATCTCATGTATACGTAATCGTAACTGACTGTTTAGGACTATTACCTTTTCCTCTGATGATCGGCTGATTGCTGTACGTCTGCTGGCCAGAGAACTCGATGACCTCGTACTCAGGTTCGAGAGGCGGTAAGTCATCTTGAGGCGGAGGTGGTGGCGGTGGGACTGCAGTGCCTCGGGCCGTCTGCAACATGACAGAGAAATTATTTCATGTCACGTCATCGATATGCATCTAAGTGTAAAAAAAGGTTCAAACTTGAGCTGGAAGACAAATTCAAACGCATAGACAAAGAGAGCCTTAAGGTGGACCTACACAGAGGTATTCAAGACAGTTCTAAAAGAAACGTAAAGCCATGAGGTAATTCACAGAAGTATGAGAAAAGGCGGTGTACAGCGGGTTGAGTGTGGGAGGGGGGGGGGGGGCAAAAGTCAATATCAATCAATTGAATTGTATTTACTAGTGGAAGTCAATGTGTCACCGATTTCAACCAAAGTTGTTTGACACCTGTCCCGGCGTTCGTTCCAAAGGCTTTAGGAGCCGGAGAAAAAAAATACATATGTCAAAAAAAATGTTCTTTTTTTTGCCTTTACTGTGTTCAGATTTCTAGGTTATTATATATTTTATAGGTTATATTATCGATTTATTTAATTGTGTATCAAGCTATAGAAGTTTGGAATACGGACTTCACCCGCCAATTCCTTAAGTTCTCCAGTGCTTAGTAATTATAGAGATATTTCACTCCTTCCCGTTGCCTACAATATAATGATCAATATCCTGCTGAACGGTATACACCCGCATTACAAAAATATAGATAGATAGATATTTTATTTGTTTTAAGGGGGTTCCCCATACAAATAGAGCCTAGCTTGGCTATTGTACAATAATATGGTTTTACAAATTTACATTCATATAATTTAAATATGAATAAAATTTACAATATTTAACGTTTAGAATGGTTTTCACAAAACATGAATAACAATAAAAATTAAAAACATAAAACGATTACTGCATAATATTGGTTATATGAACCAGTTACTATGATAGAAACAATACAAAATAAAAATATTAATAAATATAAACAAAATATTACTCTTAAGGTAAACTAAAAACAAACGCTTAATACAACATGGCTATGATCAACAATTTTGTGTACTCCTATCATATAATAGTAAACTTTATTTAATTTATCTATACAATCGATATTCAGTATGGATTCGACGTTGCGGTTATCAGAAGATTCTGAGATGAAATTTTGAAGGAATTACAAAAATATAATTGGCCGGACTCACAACAAGAAAGAAACTACCAGACCAGAACTTCATCTTGAAACTGTTGCAAAAAACTATTGGAAGTAGCTCAGAACCTGCACACCTTATTTGTCGATTTAAAAGCAGCCTATGATTCCGTGGGCTGAAACTGTCTTAGGACAGATGATGACAGTTGGGTGTTTCCGGAAAATTAATCCTAAATATTGAACCCTGATATAAACAAAAAGCGTCTGCCAAGTAAGGTGAGTATAGCATCCTCACGGTTTTCATTGGCTAAAATATATCTATATTACAAGGTCTAAAATTGTTTGTATGAGAATAAAATCTCTGAGGGAAGCCGTTTTCGGAAATTCACTAATCTCTCAACATATACGGGTTTTTGATATTCACGAATTTTGTTCATCAGCGCATACTAAAATGCGAAACAGTTCCGCATATGCAGATTGCATATTTGATGGTTCGTCATTAAAAAAAAAAATTCAAGTGCATACTGAACTTGCATATCACTCCTGTTAGTGCCGAGGTTCGTATGTAAAAATTGAGTGTGAGCATAAAAAAATAACTTTTCTTTATGATTTATTAGTACGATTTCATAATTTATTGCCCTCTGCTATTTTCCATCGTCGTAGACTGCTTACATCAGTTGCAGACTATAAAATGTTACCTTTAGCACAAATAGAATAAAAATGTAATTTTTTTACACACGACCTTTTGCGCTAACAGTAGTGATATATACTTAATAGGTATGTTTAAAAATAATTTAAATTTACTAAAAGTTAAACGAAATCTAAGTAACGTCAGTAATTTTCATGCTAGTAACGTTTGGAATCAATACAGTATAAATTAACTTTTTGTATAAAACATAAAATTTTATAACTTCATGAAAATATTGTTTTAACTTAACTCCCACTCCATGTGATAAATGCCTTGCACATTTCACGGCCATTATATTGTTAACAATTATTTATATTAAATTTAATTATTAAATTGAATTGAATGCTATTGATACTAGGTAATTTCAATACTGTCCTCTAAGTTTGGATCAAATCGAATGCGCAATTTTCAAACTATAGGCGTGTCAAATAATAAATTTCCTGACCTGAAAGTGGAATTTGATAAAATGCATGCACACTTCATTATCTGTTTACCAATTCTCAACTTCTCTCCACATTTGAGCCAAATCGAACATGCGGTTTAAGATATAAGGGTATCAAGAAAAACACGTTAGTGCATATATATAGGAAAAAGTAGTGGGCAGAATTCAATAAAATTTACACTGCATTATTACAAGAAACGAAAATAGTAGTATTAGTGTTGCCCAAATGTGAGACCAAGACGAGTCTTGGTCTTGCACAAGAGTCTCGCAACAGTTTTGCAGTTACCTATTAGGTTATTACTATAGAGATATTACTGTAATTTTTTAGATAGGAGAAACCTAACTAACCCCGAATGAAAAATTAGAAGAGTTAAATGCAAAAGTATATTGCTTATACCAATTCTTTACATATAGTAACTAAAATTGTGAAATATTCGTAACTATTTTGACTTAATTTTTATTCAAAAAATGGATTTTTTTTTTGCTAGTCTTGGTCTTGATATTGTAACAGTAAGCCGATCTTGGTCTTGGTCTTGGAAAGTGCTGTTTAATCTTTTGCACGCATTTTTATCTTGCAGTAAAATAGACATTAGATACAAATAGGTACCTAAAATTATTCGTTTCAAGGGATCTTTATCATCTTCGAAGTTGATTTATTGTCAAATTTATGAATTCCCAGGTTTAAACAAAGAAACCGGAGCTTTATTTTTTTTTTCGTAGCAATTTTCTAATTTTGACGTCATATTCGTGTTCCTTGGGCTTGAAAACATATGGGTACTAAATATAAAGTTATTCCGACATAATTTAACAGTTTTAGGCTCACGAAAACTCGCCTTTCATTCCATTGTGCGCCGCAAATTTCGAAAGTAAATATTTTGGTGAAAAATGACATTAAACGTCAGTTCATACATCGGTGCAATTAGAAAAACGAGAATAAGTCGAAACAAAAACGAACAATATGAGTAAACATGGTTAGAAACATTAACAATATAGAGGCAATTATCCAGCGATAGGTAACTTCAGAAACGCTCAAATTCTGTTTGTAAATATTGCCTTTATTATGTTATCTCATCTATTTTTTCCAAATATGGAAACTATTTCCATAGGCATGTTATTTATAATATTCAATATCAATTTAATAAAAGTTTCGTTATTTTTAAAATAAAAAATTAAGAATTCTACTCGTATAAGTTAGATTGAAATATATTTGACTTACAAGTGCTATAACTTATGAAGAACCTCTCTGATCATCAATATTCAACTAATTATAGATTCGGCAAAGATTATAGTTTAAATATTTAATACTTTTAGAGCCTGGTTTTTCCGGATTTGAAAATTATTAAATTTTCAACATTTCAATCCCAAAAACTAAGGTGTTAAGAAACACCGTTTTTTATCATTTAAAGGATAAAAAAAAATACTGATGAGAACAAAAGATGATAAAATGAGTTCATGTAAGTTTATAATTAACTTATACAATATGAAATATTTCAGAATATCCCTTCTACATAACCAATAAATCACTTCATAAAGACCTACAAATATCACAAGTGACTGATGTAATTAAAAAATATTATAAAAGTTTCCATGACTCCTTAGCTGGACATCCTAATCCACTTGTACAAACATTACTAACAGACACACTACCACAGAATCCACCAAGGAGACTCAAGCGCCTCTGGAGCAGAGATCTGCTGCGTCAGGAGTCACGTTAGGAGTGCCTTCACTGGGATGCTTCTCCAATCACGTATTCACGCTAATCCCGGAGAGGAGGTTTTCTAACGAACATCACATTTACAAAATATGCCAAAAGGCATCTGTAAAATTGCTCAATAAATAAATTTATTATTATTATTATTTTTATTATTTTAAGCAAGAAATTCGTCGAATGTTGGATTTATTTCTCAAGATTAGTTACAGACCAGTTATAATTACAGTACCTTACGGGCCAAATAATAAAATTGGTTAGTTGGATACATACTGTTGATTTGAATGTTTTTAAGTTAAGACTGAACTCCAATGGAGTTTTCATAGTAGGGTCGTCTTAAAACGGTTCGGTGTAAAGTAGATCAACGAGCTATTTCTTAGTGAACTTTGAAATATATAAGAATGAAAACTGGACAATTAAGTTTTATGCAACAGCTTCTGAGCATAAACTATGGATAGCTAATTTATAATCTGAAAGCCAAAAAATTGAAAATGATGTATATAATTCATCTTAAACTTTCAACTAATAAATTTTAAACTTTTAGATAGTGAAGTGACGTTAAAAAAACTGATGGTTTAATTACAAAATTAATTATATTTTATATTAGTTTATCGAAATAAGAAGAGCTAATCACAATTGATCTAAAATAAAAGTCATCAGTGTGTGTAATACAACCTAATAAGTAAAATTTTTATTAAATAAAGTTTTATTATCTTTATAATAATCAGTTATTTCATAAACATGTCGTGGTTTTTCATACAGTGGCCGGTTCTGAGTTGTCTCGATAGATTGGTAAAACAGCTTTCTGTGCGACGAGTTGGAAAGTCAGAAAGTTAAAAAGATATCGTAAAAAACCAAATTATAATAAGTTTTGTTAATATATGGATTAAAATATCTCAAAATTTAAATACTATTGAAAATTCCTAAACCTATTTGCCTATATAGAACCTATTTGAAACCTATTGTCAATATATATTTTTTTTTAATTAGCCATAAAAATAAGAAATTATCTGTTTCTATTCGTTTTTCTGTTGCTCTCGATAGATTTTTGACAAATTACTGACCCCCGTTACAGAAGTTATATTAAAAAAAAATGATGAAGTTTTTGTTAGATATTTAGAAAATATATTTCATTAAAGATATTCATCATTTTAGATATTATAAACCTATTGCACCCTTTTTAAAATATGATACAAATGACTATCAGTCGGAGCAAATTTTACTAGGGTAATTTATACACAATTATAATTGTTATTACTTTTTGAATATGGAGCAAAAAAAAAATGAATGTTTCATATCATTAATCTCGCCTTGTTGATGTTTTCGTTTCTATCACCTAAAGCACACTAGATTTTACTAGTTTTTATTTCACTTGTTACACTAGTGTTGTATAGTTTTTACCATTAAATTTGAATTTTCAGTTTCAGAAAATTCTATAAAAACTGTTATCATTTGTTTAAGAAACCTATTAGAGTGCCTCCAATGGGTATTTTCTTATAGTCCTATAGTCTATTTATGTCATTATATTTTTATCTTCATATTTACTAGATGTATTTTTATTTAATACAGTTGTAAATTTCATGAATAAGATAAATAAATAAATAATCTAAAAAAACATAAAATTCTTCAATTTAAATCTTTTATAAAACAAGTAAAATTTACAATAATAAACAGCGACCACTCCTAAAGTAAATGAAGATTTGGTGAGTACTCAATCTAGAATGCTGTGCCGGTGTAGTTTTCTATTTTCGCAATCGACAGCTAGATATAGAACCAGGTTCAACAATCCACGATAAATTTGGATATCCTTATTGATCTTGAGCAGTTCTACTGCCCTCTTATTAATGTGATAAAGTAAGCTGAAGTTTTCATTAGTTGCAAGAATATGATAAATTATATGTTAATTATTGTGTTGGAATCTCCGTGTTTTATCATTGCTTAAAAATATCTGGTGTGTTTATTTACACAATCTTCCATCCGCTTTGAATGTTTCATGGGTACTGCACTTACAAAATATTGGAGGGGGAGATGTTGGTTAGTATAATAGGATAATAGTGTTCAATTCATGGTTTCATGAGAAGGCATTCGTGAAGTAGCATCAATTTATTAACTCTATTATAATATAATACATTGTTTCTCAAAGGTATTTTTTTTTTGTCGGTACTCCATATTGTCCTTAATTCTTTATCAAATCCAATGATTGAAATATCGTTTCGAAGATTATTTCCTGCTTTAGAAGGGAAAAGTATAACATACACTTGTAAAATCAGGTAACATGTTATGTAAAATAAGAACAGCCACCAGCAAAATCAGGAAAAAGTTATAACGATGAGTTTTTAAAATTCCACATCCCCTGAAAAAACAAAAACAAATCAACCAAATCTGCTAATTTTTAGCAAAGATGTACCACATTGCATATTGTACACATTTTTTAAAATTATTTAGAACGGCTCACTGTAATAAACCAAGGATACAAAAAATAATTCCTTTCTCATATAATGAATTTAATTTACTTATTTTCATATAATAGAGATTTGTCCACTGGCCAATATCAGGCGAACTATTCAACTATTAATATTATTATTCCCTATGCGGTTTATTAAACTTTTTCTAAGTTATTTTAATTAAATGACTGCGAAACATTCGGTTCGTCCTCCTTAAAATAATGCGGGAACAGAAAGCGTCATGCCCTTCTTGCGCCTTACTCTTCGCCAAGTGACATTGCCTATACTCCCTAATGTTGGTCATGAAAAAAAAAAAAATTTGTTTTAAAATGTAGGTGTTTAAAATGTCATTCGTCTAATAATACTTATATCATCCCGTCTTCTTTGCAATACTCATTCAATTTTATCGCAAAGTATAAGGTTCTTATAAGAATCACAAATTTATTGGTTGAAAGGTCTGATAAAATTAAAAATATTGAAAATAAAAATAAAAACAATCCATTCGTACCTCATCTTAGTGGAATGGTAATAGACTATTTAACAACCGTGACGAACTTGCCATATTTCTCCATGACAGTCATATTGATATTTTCCTTCTAAACAAAATTTTTTCAATTAACGATAAAACTTTTACATATGTGACTACATCATTTTCAGATCAGAACACGCCGATAACAAATCTCATGCATCCTTATCCACAAATCCTTATCCCATTACTTACTTCAACCCACTCCCACTTAGGTTTATCAATCTACCTCAGAAATCCTGCGATCCGTCCTTTCCATCTAACATTCTGCCATCTAACTCTCAGCTGTATAGTGTCCTCCTGGTAATTCCGTTTCTTATAACCTTCTTACTTATAACACCAACGATTATTGTTGTCCAAAATCGGTCCAAGACCAAGGTCGCCTAACTGTTGCGAGACCAAGACCAGGACTGGTAAAAAAAAAATCGCTTTTTAAAATAAAAATTACGGCAAAATAGTTACTAATACTTGACAATCTTAGTTACTATATGTTAATAATTGGTACAACCAATATACTTTTGACTCAGGTTTCTCCTATCTAAAAACTTACTATAATATCTCTATAGTAATAAGCTAATAAGTCACTGCAAGACTATTGCGAGATTCTTGAGCAAGACCAAGACCATGACCAAGACTGAGTTTGCAAGACTAAGACTCGTCTCTGTCTCGCATTTGGGCAACACTACCAACGATAGGGTTGTCGAACATACAGCTCCCGTGGTAATATCCTATCTCATGTCTCATCATCCAATAATTAATCTATCCTCTAACCTACGAATTAAATATATTGGCCAACATCCCTTAAAAACGTCCTGATCTTCTGGAGATATCCATCACCTCCTAAATTTGCTCATCCCAAACCATAATCAAATCCCTGGATGACCTTTCATCAGATCATAGTCCAGTTCTGCTATTATTACATTTAATTTACGCTCTTAAGCCCACTCCTCCGAAATCGATGATTTGAAACATAAACTGGCCATCCACTTGTTTTTATTTTTCAAAAACGTCATATTTTGAACATTCCAGATGCTAATTTGAAACAAGATTAAATGGTATTTTTAAAGCCAACATCTGATATAAAATTATATTGTTGTTTTATCGTACAGAATTTCTCAAGCTTTTATAAGTACATTTGAAAACGATATTGAACTAATGACTAAAACTTTTTCTTAAATAGAAATAATAAAATCTTCTTATTTCAATTTTTGTTTTCATGTCTTGAATATTCAATGATTTTTTTTATGAATCCAACATAATATTTCTGTTTAAAAAAAAAGATTCCATCAATGTAATTGAAACAAAAAAAAAAAAAAAAAAAAAAACCAACTCCCCTTTTTTTCTATTTGAAGAAAACTCTTAGAAACTTGAATTTCACTTTTTTTTTTTTCTATCAATTAAAGATTTATTTTATCAATTTTATCAAAGAGTTATGAGGGTTAGTTAGTTTTGCCGATTAAGCTCTAAAATGTTGATTTGGGGATATACAGGGGTGATTGGATTCAGACTTAAATAATTATCTCATAAATGTAATTTTTCAACATGCATAAAATAAAATAACATGCTTTGCATTAAAAAAAGTAATGATTAATAACTCAAAAAATCGATTACAGATTTTTATCATAAATTAGATGAATAATGACAACAATTTGTTAATAGTGACTGATTCTGTATTGAACAGTACTTCATAATATTCTACTGTTAAAGTTAACGAGGAGAACTGAAGAAAGCCATCTTTAACTTACAATCCATTGAGGCATCGCTCGGGCAGCCCGCAGCCTGGCGGAGGGTTTGGTAGACTGGAGTTGAGGCCATCTATCACCCTCCTGCAATGATATCACAACCGTTATTTATCAATAATCATATCGATACAATCATTTAATTACGATCACTATCATAACGCGGAAATCAATTCCGTATTTATTCCCTTACTTTCATCTTATCTGTGATGTTTAAAGTACCTACACGAAGTTTTTGACTTCAATTATATTAATAGATTATATATTATGAATTTTTTGTTAGGTAAGTTTACCAGTTTTGTGGGTATCGAATGAGACAGAACCGTCACGCTCGGCTACGTAACGCTCATAACGCTATGTAACGCTCAAGTCGACTTATTTTTGATAAAAATATCTCAGAAATTAAAAATCGGACCTGCATTCTGTAGGCGAGGGGATAAGCGAAGCGAGGGGATTAGGAGAAAAAGATATTGTCGAAAATCAAATGATGACGAGTTTTGTTGAACATATGGATTAAATCTTCCAGAGCTATAATTCAAAATTGTATTTTGACGCGACGCCGAGTTAGAGTCGGAAAGAAAAAGAAGATAGCGCCAGTCTATTTTGAACATAAATTTTATTACTTTGTGGATATAGAACAAAAATTGTTTATAAACAATTATAATTGTATATATTGTAAATGTTATTACTTTATGAATATAGAAAAAAAAGAGGGAATATGTGATATATCTAATGCATACATACACCATAGTTTTTTTATTTAAGTGAAACCTTCTTTCACATTTTTTTTTCAAAATGTCAACATTTCCTTAATGATTAAGTTAGATTTCCAAATCTCCCAACGTCATCTTGAAGAGTAGGGTTTCTACTTAAAACACAAAAAGAATTATTTGCCCATGTTTGCCTCTGCGTATTTATTTATTTATCAAGATATATATTTTGCTACCTGCTACATTTAATAAAAAAGAAATTTAAATTTAAAAAAATGTTAAGGTTTCTATTTTTTTAAAATTTTCAATTGTTCCGAGAGGTCTGGTGTTAAAGTAATGTTATGGAGATAACTGCACGACAAGATTCAACAACAAGAAGGCCTAAATATAAACCAGAAACTTGTCACTAAAAATTGTTGCTGATACAAGAGACCTATAATGATGACGAAGCAAACATGTTCAAACCAGGATTTTCACTATGTACAGTACAATTCAAAGTAAATTCAAAGAGAGGATGAGAGGTTTAGGGAAAACATGTGATAATTGGTTGGACGAAACTGTTCATTTACCCAAAGGAACAACACCTAATCTAAATTAAAAAGCTGCTTGGCCGACTAAATTTTGTGAATACTTTAGGCACCAAAGTAAAAGAAGGAACCAACAACTGCGGAAATAAGCTGAACCTGAAGAATTTATATTTGCCTCTACTCTAGCAAAGCAGATGCTTCAAAAATTGTGAAAGATTTCTTTGCATTTTTCCTAAAAGAGTAACAAGATCCTTATGTAGAAGACCTTATATAGATAAAGATAAAGATGCCTTATGTAGAAATTTTAAACCCCTTTCTATGTTTGTCGATGCATATTTATCAAGAAAACAATGGGAATACTAGCAGACACAACGGCAATTTTTGCAGACCCTAAGATTGCCGCGCAAATTATTGGCTTGAATGTTCAGATTGTTTACTTATGTTTGAAAGTCATATTAAAAGCAATAGATCTGGTTACAAAATTGACGCTAAAAAGTATACTAGGACACAGGAAAACAGTATCGATGGCATCTAATGACTCCAATTACGTAAAAGATATATATACTTTTTTTTTTTTTTTTTTTAAAGAGATCAGCGAGGAACAGGCGGGTTTTCGAGCTGGAAGATCATGCACTGATCACATTTTTAGTCTCTCACAACTTATAGAAAAGAGGATGGCCCACGACCGTGAACTCCATATGATATTTGTAGATTTACACAAGGCCTATGATTCAGTACCTCTAGCGAAATTGTGGAAAGCTTTGGAAGCCACATCTATTAAGAGATACCTCATCAGAGCAATTCAAGAGCTCTATAAAAATATAACGAGGGCTATAAAAATTGGAGATAGAGTGTCTAGAAGCTTCTTCATTAACAAAGGATTGAAACAGGGCTGCTGCCTTTCACCCCTGATTTTCAACATTTATATATAACAAGCCCTTAAAAACTGGAAAAGATCGTGCTGTGGAATGGGTGTTCAAATCGGGAATGATGTCATCTACATTTTGCAGTATGCCGATGACCAAGTCATAATCGCATCGGATCCGGATGATGTTAGCTATATGATGAGGAAGTTGCTGGACACGTATTCCAGATGGGGTCTGAAAATCAGTGAAAGTAAAACAGAGTATATGGTTTTTAACGCTCCAAATTTGCCCCTTGAAATTGATGACTGGACGCTAAATGTCAGCCAACAGTTCAAGTACCTCGGATACTGGTTATCTTCAAAGGGTGGTAGTGAGATTGATATCGAACATAAAATAAATAATGGGAAAAGAATAATAAGTTCGATAAATTCAACCCTATGGAGGAAAGAACTAAGATTAGAAACTAAAAAAAAGATATACCATTCCTTTGTAGAAAGCGTAGCCACTTACGGATCAGAAGTCTGGACACTGACAAAAAAGATGGAAAATAAGTTGCTTTCCATGGAAATGGATTTCTGGAGAAGAAGCTGTGGCATATCCAGAATCGAGCGGATCCCAAACGCAGCAATTAGAGACAAAGTCGGATGTCAAAAGAACATCCTTCACCTGATCGGGACCAAACGGTTAAAGTGGTATGGCCACTTAATGCGGATGGATGAGAACCGCTGGCCAAAGAAGATTTATAACTATGTGCCACCTGAAAGAAGGAAGCGTGGAAGGCCAAAGAAGAAATGGATAGAGGACGTGAATGGAGGAAAGCATGGCAGCCAGAGGGCTTCGTGGGGGAGATTGGATGGACAGGGAGCAGTGGCTTTTGGGTGTTGAGGATATGACTCCTTAAGTTGTATAAAACCCAAATAAAAAAAAAAAAAAAAAAAAAATATATATATATATATACTTTCAAACATAAATAAGTGATCTGAATGTTTTAGTGGATCTGCATCTCAAGATCTGCGAATTGTCTATCCAATTTTAGAAACTTTTTCCTTAGAGTCAAACAATATTGATGTTTTAAACAGGCTTCTCTTAACACATGTTTCTCATTTGACTTCCATAAGACCTATCCCAAGAAAAAACATAAAGCCTTTTTTTAAGTCATTAGTGTTTTAAGGCATTAGAACTATTTCTGCCATTTGAAATTCCATATATGGATGGAGGAAATGAAACTAAAGAGAGCCATTTGAAAATGAGGAGGAAGAAAATAATGATAAGAAACCTTCCAATTAGAATTAAATTTACATAAAATCTTTTGATAATAAAATAGTTTATACCCGCAATAGTTATACCCGCATTACATGCAGTTATACTTATTTATAAAGAAAATATCCTATCCTTTTATTAAAGTAAAAATAACAGTTTATGCACTTGAAAAATGTCATTAAGAGAGTAATTCATTTTTGTATCAAAATCTATATAATTATTTCATTATTATTCAGCCATTTATCCCTAAAAACTACTTCTGTACTTATATCGCTTGATAAATGAATGAATCACAACTATTTGTAAGCAAAAAAGTTCATAAATAATTTTGGCCGGTTTTGAGGTCACATTTACCACTGTGCGACGTCGTGTTGTAGACGCAAAAATGGGAAAAGATAGCGTCGAAAACCAAATGATGACAAATTTTATTGAATATACGGATTAAAATATCTCAAGCGTTCTTTTGAGAAGCTGATCAGTTTAAATTGCATATTGATACATTGCAGTTGCAGATGTAAATAGTAAAAATCATTGTTTGAACATGTTTGCTTTATCATCAGTACAGCCCTCTTGTATCAGCAACAATTTTTATTAAAGTTTCTGGTTTATTTTTACCCCTTCTTATTGTTGGTTCTTGTTGGAGTTATCTCTACTTTACTTTAACACCTGACCCCTCTAGACAATTGAAAATTTTAAAAAAATTAAAAACCCTTATGTATTTTATGTAAATTTTTTTAAAATTATAAGTAACAGGTGGAAAAATATATATCTTTTAAACATGGGCGAATGATTCTTTTTGTTTTAAATGGAGACCCTACTCTTCACGTACAAAAAGTTCCTCATCATACCAAAACAAACCTAATAGCAAATAATGATCGAGATCAGTTTTGTGTAGATCCTAATTTATTGAAAATATAAATAAATTTTAATTTGATTGCCTTCTTTCGATTTTTTTCAATGAGCTCTTTGTTGTCTTCACGAATTGAAATTAACCATTGAGCATATTTACGTTATGCACGTCATAAACCTTTTGTTCATTCAAATCTTAGTAGTTTAGAAGACCAAGTGAATCCTATGAACAGAAGAAATATAACCACTTAAAAAAACAATCATATTATTTAACCGATGTGATCTTAGTAAGTTTAAAGGAAGATTTCGATAATATATTCTGTATATTGGTATAATATATAAATTAATTCATGTTCAACAATATTATGGCTGCATATTAAAAGTGAAAATTCTTTAGATTAGATTAAAATGCACGTTGGAAAACATGCCAGCGTATAGGAAGCCATACTATAAATAGATCGAAGGCACTGCCACCATTGAGAGAGAAAAATTTTCGGCTCATCGATAATTCTGCGAGTGGCTAACACATTGAAAACGTACTATATAATTTTATAATACTATACCATTTTATTATCTTTCTTGATTATATTGGAAATAAGAACACTAAAAATCATTATGCATTAATGAAACCGTGTAATCGTTCTTGATACTGCTTTTTTATTCATCATAAATTTTAATGCGTATTACAGGTTTACAATGATAAATGGATGGATGAGAGGAATTATTTGTGAAGTTTGGAACTTTAGAGTATTTCGTTGCATGGAGTTATAATTATAAATTCCTAAATGTGTCACCTGTTTAGTGGATACACTATTCCTCTCTCCCCCACAATACTAAATACGGTCAGTTTTCTTTTTAATTTATCTGTCGACCAGTGTTG